GTTTACTTACATATATCTTGAAATGGTTACCACAAGTTGATTAATATCCATCATCTCATATAGATGGAAGATAAAAATAAACTTTTCCTTGTGATAAGAATGCTTAGAATTTACTGTCTTAGCAACTTTCATGTATATCATACAACATTGTTAAGTATACTTATGTCATACATCCCTAGTAATTATTTGTCTTATAACTGGAAGTTTTTATCACTTGACCACCTTTTTCCAATTCTCCATCCTCTCACTCCCACCTTTGATAGCCACAAATCTTATCTCTTCTTATTTTATGAATTTGGTTTTGTTTCTTTGTTTCTTTAGATATAACTTGTTTATCTATTCATCCATCAGTGGACACTTCCCATGTCTTGTCTATGGTATATAATGCTGCTATAAACATGGGGATACAGATATCACAACATGGTGTTTATGTTTCCATAGTGGCTGCAACGGTTTACATTCTTACACATTGCACAAGGGTCTCCTTTTCGCCACATCCTCTAATTTCTGCTATCTTTTGCCTTTTTGATGCTAGTCAAAACAGATACGAGATGTTCTAACAGATAGGAGGTGTTTTGGAGTGTTCTGTATTATTTCAGATATTAATCCTTTGTCAGATATACGGTTTGTAAATATTTTCTCCCATTCTGTAGGTTGTCTCTTCATTTTATTGATGGTTTTCTTGGCTATACAGAAGCTTTTGAGTTTGATGTTGTCCCACCTGTTTATTTCAAATCTTGTTGCTTATGCTTTAGATGTCCAGAGTATCATTCCTAAGACCTACATCAGGGTATTTTTTTTTCCCTGTGTTTTCTTCTAGTAGTTTCGTTGTTTCAGGTGTTACATTTAAGCCTTTAGTCCATTCAAATAAACTTTTCTGAGTGGTATAGATAGGGGCCTAGTGTCATTCTTTTATACATGAGCTCTTTTAGAACCCTGATACTGGAAAGAACTAAAAAGCTTGTTCTTTATGACTGAGAGGATTTGTATTGTTTTTGATAATTTCCATAAAGTATTTTGTAATATTCTTTGAGAGACTTTCTTTCCAAAATCAAGCACCACTGTAAATTTGTCTTAGCGGTGTGGTGGTAGTAAAAGCTTCCCACCTGTGAGCAATAGGACCCTATTATCGGCAGTCTTATTTTTCATGTTTCAAAAATATATCAGAAATCATGCACTGCAATATGCATGTATAGGCCAAACATGACTAATAGGCCATAATATGACTAGAAAGGCCAAAAGGACAGGTTGCTTTTTGCTTTGGATTAGAAATAGCATTAACCATTAGTAAGATTGGTGAAAGTGAAAGTTAGCTCAGTTGTGTCTGACTCTGTGATCCCATGGACTGTAGCCCAACGGGCTCCTCTATCCATGGAATTCTCCAGGCAAGAGTACTGGAGTAGGTTGCCATTTCCTTCTCCAGGGGATCTTCCCGACCAAGGGATTGAACCCAGGTCTCCTGCATTGCAGGCAGATTCTTTTACCGTTTGAGCCATATTCATCAATCAAATGTAACTGGAAGCCTTCCCAAACTCACTCTCAAAAACGAGCTGTGGCTCTTCCCTCTTCATGCTTCTTTCACTTCAGTTCCCACATGATGCTGAAAGGATCTTTTTACCAGTCTCTCTGTGAAATATAAGTTGTAAAGCATTTAATCAACAAAGGAAAAGGGTCTTCCTATTTTCCTTGAAAGCTTCGAACTTGTTCTCACCATTAAGATTCTAATTGACTATTTCCTTTGCTCAGATTGCTCTTCCCCCAGAAATTCAAATGGCTTGCTTCCTCATTTTAACAGTCTCAGCTCAGATAAGTCTTAGCCACTGAAGCTTCAGGTAAGTCCTATCCTGGTTTATTTTCACCACAGCACATTACTCTCTTCTGTCTTTGTTTTTGTTTATTGAGAGTTTGCCATACTGAAGCTGGAGTTTCATGAGATCAGAAGTATTGCCTAATTTTTTCCTTGCTGTATTTCTAGGGGCTGGGAGAATCCTGAAACATAATATTTGAAGGAATTTGTGAGTTTGTTTATTTTTGTTAACATTTTCATGATCCTTGAGTTAAAGTAAATAAGACAGGCATGATACTTGTCTCCACGTTTTGTACTTTTTTTTGACATGAAAGTCTCAGTCGCGTCCAACTCTGCAAATTCTCCAGGCCAGAATACTGGAGTGGGTAGCCTGTTCCCTTCTCCAGGGGATTTTCCCAACCCAGGGATCAAACCCAGGTCCCCTGCATTGCAGATTCTTTTCCAGCTGGAGCTGTGTTTCATTGGGAGCCTAAATGAGTCTAAAAGTGATATAAAATTAGTATATATTGGATATATCTGTTATTTGCTTTCATATATTAGTTATTTGCCTTTAGCTAGTTCATTTCTATGGAAAACAGACAATAATAACACAAGGTAATTACGTAATCAACCTATCTATTAGACCTAACAGGATCTTCAAAATTATAATTCAACTCCTTACTCAGCTTCTGACCGAAGTAGGTTCTTAAAAGTGAAGTGAAATTTCCTCAAGTTATACTTAATTAATAACAAGGTAGTATTTTATCTTAAGCCAGTCTTCTGGCTCTAAGTCCAGTATTGTTTTTAGCTGCTAGATAATTTGAAAATAAAATACTCAGGAATCCTCCTTATTAGAATTCTTTTTTGCCACTCTGTTTCACTGTCTGGAAGCACCATCTATCTGTATGTCCAGTAAGTTTTTATGTATAACCTGACTTCTGATGATTTAAGAGATTTATCTTGTCACAGAACTATATGGTTGGTTGGTTGGTTTGTTTTGGCCTGAATTTGTAATTTTAATCATATAATGTGTCAAACATACAGAAAACTGTGGAATAATAGAAAAGATTTCTATGTATCCACTGCAAAGAATAAAAAGATGTTAACAGTAAAAAAAAAAAAAAAGGACAACCATGAACCCAGCCCTTGTATTCATTTGTCCTTTTGTCATAGAACATTGTAGTATGCCTTGGTACATGGTAGCCACTCTTAATGAAAGTTAAACTTGTCAGGTGACAAAACTGAAACAATTTAGCAAGGAGTTTAATGCCATTTATTCAAGGGAAAACAATCCATGGATTGGGGGAATACAGTGCCTGATAAGCATAGAGCACTCATCCCAAGGGATTCTGAGCAAGAGGGTTTTATAGAGATGAGAAGAGACATTGGCCAGGAGGTGGAGAATTTCCTTATAAGCTAGCAGGTCTTATTTTCTAGGACGAAGAAAGCTGCTAAAACTGAGTTGGAAGATTGCAAATTTGTACGTTAGTTTTCCTTAACAGGTGTTTCCTGTAAGTGCAGGCCGACTTGGGTTTAGATTTGTTGCATAGACCAGGTCACTGTGGCAGCCTCCATTTTGTAGGTACTGATATAGTGATTAACTGATTAACTTTATCAAACAAGAATCTGTATTTGGCAGTTACATATGTACTATTCAAAATAAGAAAATTACTTGATGTGTTTTATATTAACAGACATTAGTGAATAGCATGCAATTAGTTGTAATTAGTAATTTCGCCAGACTTATGGTCAACTTACCATTTCCTTTGTATAAGAGCTAGGAGAAAATGGCTTAACTGGTAAGTAAACCTAGCAGTTGGCTCTACATCCAAATCTCAATAACTTTATAGTTTCTAATCTCTCACAAGTCACACTCTCAGTTGCATTATTCCATAGAAGTATTTACTAACAAAAATAATCTGTAAGGCCTCATATTTTGGCCTCCAGGCGTATTTAGGATCAAGTAATTATTTAATAATTGTCAGAATAAATGACACTTACTTAATTAACATTTATTTTGCGTGTGTTCAACACATTTATTGGGCATTGGCTGTGTGACAGACATTGTGCTAGATCCTAAACTGACCCAGGAAACTTGGGAGTTTTTGGCAGGGGAATGCTTGTCAATATAACAAATACTTTTTGCCTCTGTCCTTGAGTGGAGAGAAGGAAACCTTAACTCTGCTTGAGGAAGTTTCCTCACTAGGTGAGGAAAGCCCTATGAAGGATAACAGATAAAATGAGGGAGGTCATTAATAATTTGTGGAAAGGCAGAGCGAAGTAAAAGATTTTGTCAGGTTTGGGGAACTGCTAGTCTTTAGATAACACTGGATGAAAGTGGGAGAATAGTTCACATGAGGTTGAAAAATTAGGCAAGGATCTTTTTATGATCAAAATTACTTTAAGCAAGAAATGCATGTAAAGGAAGTTTTTCTGTAGAAATTTTAGATAACATACTTGAACATATTTGGACTCTGTAAAATATTTTTTAAAAAAGTGAATTTGTTAAAGCACTAGTGAGTGTAACAATGTATCTTTTTTCTGAAGATTTTAGTGCCAAAACAAACTCTTTGCAAATTTAGTATTACAAGGATGTGTGTATATAGTAAAGAGAAAATTTTATAGTAGTGGGGAGGAAAATCTTGATAGCTAGGGTTAAATTTCATTAAACCAGATCTATAGAAGATACTCTACACAAAGAAATACCGTGGGCATTTTAAATTAGAATAGTTGCTTAAGTGCAGTTTTTGTCGGGGAGTGGAGGCGTGCTTTAAAAAAAGAAAGAAAGAAAAAAGTTAATGCCTTCCACCTTTCTCCTCTTTTTAGGAAGGGGGAAAAAAAGGAGCAGAGATGGAGATAAGGCCTTTCACTAGACAGCAGCCCCTTCTCGCGTATTTTCCGGTTGCGAGCCTGGCTCGCTGGGCCGGCAGGGGCGGAGCCGACGGTGACGCACCCGTGCGCCGCAAGGCATTGTGGGAAGCTCGGGCCGCGAGTGAGGTGGTTGGAGGCGAGGTGGGGGCGGCCGTTTGTTTTCTCGTGGGCTCGAACTCGCGCGTTCTCTTCCTTCCCCGCGGCGAGCGGCGGGGCGGAGAAACGGCGGCGACGGCAGCAGGAGCAGCTGTAGCTACGGACACCGTGCTGTGCCTTTTCCGGCGAATGGTTCCTCTTTCCCCTCCCTCTCACTGTTTGTTGTGTCTTTGGTGTGTTAAAGCAGGAGCGAGACCGCGAGCAGCGCCATGAGCAACACCACCATCGTCCCCAGCACTGCGGGCCCGGGCCCCAGCGGCGGGCCGGGGGGCGGCGGCGGCGGCGGCGGAGGCGGCGGCACCGAGGTAATCCAGGTGACTAATGTCTCCCCGAGCGCTAGCTCTGAGCAGATGCGGACCCTCTTCGGTTTCCTAGGCAAGATCGACGAACTGCGCCTCTTCCCGCCTGAGTGAGTATCGTCCACCATCACGGTTTTTGCTAACTCCTCCCCAGCCTGGGCCTACCCATAGCGTTTCCTGCAGGCCCTTGTCTCTGCCTCCCTGGCTGCTTCAGTTGAGGTTGGCTGTTGGGTTTACTTATGAAAGAAATCTGTGCATTAGACCTATTGATGCAAAGAGGCAGGGCCAGGGTTTGGGGGTTTAGGAGACAACTGGCTTCTAATCTTGGTTGGTTTTTTTTTCTCTTTAAATTGTTCCTGCGTGGTCATTAAAAACAAGACAGACTCCATTTTATGTATCTTGTATAGGTTAATCTCTCAAAAAAAATCAAGCGTTTGAATTCTTTGAAAAGTAATAAAAATTTTCGTTTCTGTGTTATTTTTGATATTGAACTTTATAAACTGTTCACTTACTGCTAAATATTGTTAAGTGATTCTGGCCCATTGAACATAATTCAGTTAATACTCAAATTCAGTGAGCCTGAGTACTTTTTAAAATGAGAAGAGTTACAGCTGAAATCTCATATTTCCCTTTGTTTAAATAACGTACACATTTTTTATATTCTAGAATTGTTCTTCAGAAGGAATTTTTTAGAACGTTTAATTTTTTTACTTTGGGGTGTACGGGTTTTGTTTTTATCCTGTTGTCTTACATTTCTTATTTTTATCACAGATGTGTTAAATGAGTGCAATAATTGTAAGAAATGAATCTATAACAAGATGTGATAAATACTAAAGTAAAAATTTGAAATAATAAAACAGTCCAGTGCTCCTTGGGAAGAGTGAAAATTCAGATTTTACTGTCAGTGGGTACTCAGTTCCAGCTGTACTATAAGTTTTTTGTGATGCCACTTAAGTACTAAACAGGAGATTGGAATCTCAAAGAATCCAATGTTGTGGATATAATGAATCATTAATAATCTGGGCATGATAATCTGTGTGCTTCTCTAAGTTGATCATACTGCAGTCGGTATTTAATACTGTATTTCATCATGTTTTCCTTAAAGTATTTTCAGATAATCATGTTTTCAGGTGCTGTGTTGTCTTTAATTTGGGGGTACTATACATATGGAGGGAGGTTTAGAGTTAATTAACTTACATGAAGTGTAGAATTCTAGGAACAAATTTTTTGTTGAAGTTATTTTACACAGGTATTTATTTTGACAATGAAGGACAAATGGCTTTCGTAATAAGAGTTTACAGAAATGGGTATTTTGCTGTTACTTTCTCCCAACGTTCCTTTTATCATTAGTAGTATTAATTAATGGTAAAATGGCAGGAAATGAAAGTGACACATCTGATTATTATTGATTACTTGATTGTAGTAATGTTATTTCTCAAAGTATATGAGATGGTGGACTTATAAGAAAATTATTTCCAGTCCCACAAGTCATTAAGAATTTTTTTTTAGAGTTGCTGACTGTGAAACGGTTTTCTTGTGAAAATGTTCTTTTTATGATACTTTCATAAAAAGATGACGGGGAAAAAAAAAAGATGACAGAAGTGTGGAATGTTACCTTGTCTGTGTCTCAAGGGGGAGTCATGGTAGAACAGACTGGCTTTTTGATTTGTAGTCGATGGAATGGTTCCATCCTAATCAGGAAGAGTTGTGTGTTCCAGGTAACTTGATCTCTGGGGTGCTATGCATTAAGAGGATTTTTTTTCCTACATTGGAAAGAATAAATACTGACACATTTTTGCTCTGACTCCTTCATATATGCACCCATGTACAGATCATTTTCTTTTCTGAAAATATGTAAGCTTATAATGTAGTGAATTTTACATTACTTTAGTGGCCTTTCCAAATTGAATAGTGTGAATGTAGATCCTTTTGTTCATTTAATATTATATGTGTGTATGAATATATAGATTTTTCCTTTTTTTTTTTTTTACTAATTTAAGTTTTAATAGCTAATCTGACCTGTACAATTTGGAAGTACTTTATTGATGGTTTCTTTAAGTTCCCTACAGTGTTCAGTAGTAGTTTGTTGCAGATAATGTGCTATGGAGTCCTAATAGTCTTAAAAGGGATTCATCTTTGCAAAAGTACTCCAAAAATTTACTCTTACTCATAAAATAAGATCAAATGACTTATTACTTGAAATTCTGTTGATTATAAATATATTTGTTGCTTGATTTCTTTTTTTTTTTTAATGGGTATATGTTTCTCCCAGAAGGTGTTCATATCCACCTGGAACTCTGACATGCTTGCTTTCTTTTGTTGTTCAAATGTCACCGATTCACGCAATATAAAAATGCAACTGCTCCCTGACTTCTCTATTCAATTTAATTGCTTTTTCTCTGTAGAGCTGTTCACCAACTGACAAGTTTAACTCCTCTGTCTTCTAGAATAAGGTTCCTTGGGGTCATCAACATCCCTTGAGGGGCACTTTTTAAAAGTATTATGTGACTGAGCTCCAACCCACACCTACTGAAATCCTAATTTTAGCCCCAAATTCCTGTTTGTGGGAAAAATTCCTGGGATCACAAACATTTCACTGAGAACCTCAAGAAGGTGTCTCCCCTCATTTTATTATCAAATTCTCCTATTTCTTGGTTCTTTTAAGCCAGAAATTGCTGACTTAAAATTCCATGCAGTGATAACGACCTGTCTTCATAACAAGTAGTATTTTATGCTTCTTTTCAGTATGATAGCCTTATATATTCAGAGGGAACTAAGCCTTGTATCCTGTTTTACAAATGAGTGAACTGAAATTCACATAGATTTCTACCAGTGTCAGAACTAGTATTTGAAACCTAATGTGATTCTTTTCTACCACTTCATGATTTCCTTCAAAGCCAAGCAACTTGTGAGTGGAATCATTCTTTTACACCTAATAGGTATTCTTCAAATGTTTGATTTTAGTGAGGTGTCAGTGGAGAAAGTCACTGGAATGCTTATCAGGTAATGATCCTTGAGAAGCATGTGTCAGTTACTCAATAACTGAAGACTTCTGTAACACTGCAGATAAATCCATTACAACATTCTCAGGGACCAAAAAGAGATACTTTAATGATCATATAAGTAACTTAGTATAGTTAGGTAAGGGAGAGAACATAATTTATCTTGAAAATTTTTTAACTTAAAAATATAAAATATTTTAAAATAGAAAATCTACATTTAAAACTAAATGGCAACAATTTACTGTATTTTTTTAGAGCTAAGTAACACATGAGGGAAAGAGGATGTGAGGTCAACAGAGTTGTTAATTTTGTCACAGACTTGCTGTTTTGTGGGGCTTAAGAGATACTTTGTTTATAAGCTCAAAATTCTCTGCTCTAAAATGGTTAGCTCAATATTAAGATGAGGTTGAAAGAACTGACCCAGACCAGAATTTCTGCTTTAGCAGTCATGAATATCTGCTAAGGATCTTGTTAAGAATCAGAGCCTTCCTATGAAAAGGATTCTCACATTCAGTGGGCTTGAGGTGGAAAAGTCATCTGAATTTTACAAGTGCGTCCCAGAAGATTCTGAAACAAGCCTCAGAGGTCACTAAGAGACTAGACACAGTACCACCACCACTCTTAGAACAGGATGGCAGCGTCACACAAGGCGCCCTTTTCCCTATCTTGTTCCTCAGTTCTTTTCACCTGCACTGCCTCTTCTATATTAATTCTTAAAGGTAAGGATATTCTCAAAGGTAAATTATGTTTAATTCTTAACAATCATATTTGTAGCAGTGGTACTTGCACAAGATCCTAGGGTGGGAAAAGTTCCAATGTCAGTTCTTAACGTCTCTTATTGATTTTAACTGAGAAGATGTGACAGTATAAATTGCAGGACCAAACGGCAGTGGTTTTAAACGACATTTTAAAGTGGGGCGAGATGAATTATCTGCCCTTCTGAGTCTTTACTGTACTTTCCCATGATATTTAAATTGTTCATATTTTATCTTTATCGCACCACCACTTACAGGTATGATAGAGTAGTCAAATAATGTTGCACAGACATGAGTGGATAGAAAAAAATGTGAACATTTAAGATCACTAAATGGAAATATACTGGGAGCACGTAGGCATACTTTCCTAATTTTTTAGAAAGAACCTTTGATTGATTGTATTCTTTAATAACCTGATATTTGGTTAGTCGTATTTGCGTTGAGTTAGATGACAATAGGCGGTGTCAGAGAAGTAGTGGAGGTCACTTTTCTTACTGGGGTAAAATCGCCTCACAGTGTTGTGTTCGTTTCTGCTGTACCGCAAAGAATCAGCCGTGGGTATACACATACCCCTCCCTGGATCTCCATCCCACCCGGCTGGCTTGGCGCAGAGCAGGAACTGAGCTCCTGCGCTAAACGGCAGCTTCCTACTGGCTCTTTTACACATGGTAGTGTGTATATGTCAGTCGTACTCTGCCAGTTGATCCCCCTGTCCCCACCCATGTCTACATGTCCCTTCCCTATGTCTGCATCTCTATACCTGCCCTGCAAATAGGAAAAAAAATTGGGTCATTGGTAGAGATGTAGAGTAGCGTCACTTTTTAAGAAGTGTAAGTGCTTACACTTTAGAACATAAAATGATAGCATTTGAAAGAGCTTTTTAATTTAGTTGTAAAAATGTGACTGTCAGAAATAGTAAGAGCTATGTAGCCCTAGTACTAATGATGAAAAAGCATTATTTTCACTATACTGGGGTGCAGCATTTTTAAGTTTCAGAACAGTGATGCTTCACATTTAAAAAAAATTGTATCCTTTCAAAAAAAACCATTTTCCAGTAAAGTTCTGTAGCAGTGTGGTTTAAATCCATTTCAGTGCATACATTGACAGCTTTGCTTTGAACCTAGATTAGCATCTGTGCTAATAAGGGCAATGCCTTTAAGAAAACTTAACATTCTAAGAGGTTAGAGGTCTCAGAGTATAGATTGATGTTGGTAAGAAGTTTTTATTTTCATATCGTGCCCAAATTATAAGAAAATGTTTCAACACTTAATCTGAAACACTTAGTGTGACCAATCTGATGTAATCCAATTTTTATATATACATGAAAATCTTGTTTACTTAGAAAAGTTGACAATTACCCCCTTCTAATAATTCAAAGTATTACAGGATTTCCCTCATTATTGAGTCTGAAAATATAATTGGCTTGTTAAAGCAGTGGTTCTTTACACTGGGTGCATATTAAAATCATCAGGGAGAATTAAAGATGGCATCATTCAGTACTTCTTTCATCAGAGATTTTGATTTAATTGTAGTCCTCCCCCCACTTCCAAGATTCTAATATAAACGTGGGATAATGTGATTAGTTTAGTTCATTGATTTTCAAATAGCTTTTGGTTTGGTGTTAGAGAGCAAAGAAACCCCTACCTTATTTAATCTTTCCTTCCACAAAAAGTTTAGTGGCAGAAATTTAACTGTCTTATATTTTTAAAAAAAACTCAGCTCCCTTCCTAATCTTACCTTGCTTGGAGCGACTGTTGCTTGTACCTTAGCTTGTTTTTGTTTTACATAAACAAGTTGCCAAGAAAAGTGATTTTTTGTTAATGGAAATTTTGGGTAATAGTTGGGAGTATTATTCCCATGGGTGCTTAATTTTTTTCTCTGTGTGAAAGTGCTCTGAGAGACCCTTAACTATTTATAATGCCTGGAAGTTTTAATAAGCTGTAGATGAAAGAGGACAAGGCATTTAGTAGGCAGGTCAAGAAAACTCATTGATTGTCAGAGATGTACTTGACCATAATATTTTTCTATCCCTGAAATGGAAAATGTTTGTTTTTAGCTCTAGAAAGTTAGCCATAATGAAAAGTTTTCCAAGCCAAAACTAGTTACTTGCTATTTGTATTTTAAAATGGCTGGTATTGATACTATGAAATAAACGTTATTTTTGTGATCTGTTCAGACTCTTGAGACTGGTTTCAAACTTTTTTTAACTTGATGTATTATGAATTTAAACACTGATTGTTTTGGGTATGATTTTCTATAGTCAGTTCTGTGGATAGTACTTTATTGAAAAACGCCCTGTGTTTTTTGAACTGGTTAATATGTGTGCAGTTATGTATTCCTCTGCCTCTTATGCTTTTGGAATGCAGGTATTTGAGTCATTCATTTGTGTTTTTGCTTATAATTTCCTCTTCTTTATGTTATCTGTGTATTTTTTAGTGATTCGCCTTTACCAGTCTCCTCCCGAGTCTGCTTTGTTAAGTTCCATGATCCGGACTCAGCAGTTGTGGCACAGCATCTGACAAACACTGTATTCGTTGACAGAGCTTTGATAGTCGTACCATATGCAGAAGGTTTGTGCTTTGTTTAACTACCTATGTGGGCATCCTATGATGACCATCTACCTCAGTGTAGTTTTAGAATGAGCATTAGTAGCATGTTAAAAAAAATCTAAGCTATTAACATTTTGAAACCCTTGTTATACTGTGGTCCATATATTTTTTTACATGAAGGCTTTCTAACTTAAAATTCAAAATCTAATTTGTTTTTATAAGATATTTAACCTTTTACATTACTTTAAAGCATTTTAAGTTCATTAAAACCACTTCCCTAATCGTAATTCCTTAAGATACATCTGCTTAGTTAATTTAATATTGCTTTATATAAACGTCCTGAAGGTGAACGGTTCACTTCATGAACATTTACACAGAAAGCTTCAAATAAATGCATGATGATGTTTCTATTTTGAATAAATGTGACCAGGTTGGTTTATTTCCATAGTGATTCCTGTTAGTGATTCTTCTTACCAATAACTTTAAAAAATATATCCCACATTGAATTTCAGTATACCAAGGGTCGCAATGGTTTTGGTTTTTATGAAGTTCAATATTTCCTATAGCTTAGGTGCCAAATGGGCACTGGGTGTTTTGTTTTATGCCAGATTTTCTTGTTCATTCTTGCTATATTTTCTAGAATATCTCTAAATAATAAATTCTTCTCTCTGTTATTTGTGTGTGTGATTTTTGTAGTGGAGAAGGCAAATGCAAAACTCTTCCAGATGACTGAAAAACAGTGGGTCCTCTGCAGCTACAGGGGATTCTAGACATTAACTAAAGGCCAGCAAGCACTCAAGTCCCCCAAGTGTTTTCATGGTGTAACCATTTGTTAACTACATTTTCTCTCTTTTTACATTTTAGGCTGTTAAAGTAATTTGGCAGAAAAATAATGAGCAGGGTTTTTGGATCTTAAAAAAGCCACTGTGACAAGACAACACTATTTTTATTCCACTTTGTGAAATTTTCTAAGACATACTTTATACTTAGCTTGTTCCCAGTGTACTGCTACTTTATTTGCTTTTTGGTAACTATAAATTTAGTGAAAGAAGTCACTGAAATATGTTAAAATTACTGGATTTTATTAACATATATGCTGACCAGGGTATAAATGCTTTCCCCTCTCCTTGGTGAACTGGTCAGTAGAAGCAGAATCTAGATACTGTTAACTTTAGTTGCTATCTTTGAATACTGATGTGAACATTTAAACCGTTCCTTGTAAAAATTGTGAAATGTCTAGTCCTTAAAACTGAGAAAAATTTCCTCTGTGGTTTTCTAAAGAAATTAAATTGCATTCATGGATAAATTAAGGCATGCTATATAACAGTAAATCTTGTCTCCGTGATATTAAAGTGTATGAGCCCAGTTTTAAGGTTTTAAAGTGTATATATATATATATAGTGATAAACTTGTGAGTTAGTGTGTTTTGATTAAGCATTTTCTGTCAGTGTGCCTGTTGTAGGATGACTTAACCATCAAGAGAAAATTTACAGAATTCAAATTTAGGATAAGTAAATGTAGAACATAGCTTTTGGAACAAGGGTCAAATCATGTGAGTAATTTGCAAAACACTAGTTAGCCTTATAATTATAAAAATTCTTTTTGGCCAAATATTATGTCATAGTTCCCAAGCCCTGAACATAATACAGTATATCATATAATAAGATTTCATAAATATTTTTAGACCATAGTAATTTTTTTGGATTTGTTTTGAAGCAGATATTTAGGGAGTAGATTATTAGAATTACAGAAATACTTAGTTACAGAATCTGTTATTATATTACTGGTAATTAATTGGTATGGTATGCTGTATTAATGTTGCCTCCACTAAATAACTGATGTACTCAAGCCTTTTGTCACCATTCACCCTGGTTTTAGCTCTTACATTATGCTGTTGCTTCTTGGTCAGTGTTTTAAAACAATAGACACAAAGTCTACGGTAAGGAATAGTCTTTAACCGGTAAAACTGAGATAGCTGAATTTGGAAGGAACTCTTAATAATAATGCATTTGGGGACTATTTAGGTTCCTTGGTTAATGTTTGTTTCTTTTGTCTGTTTCTTTTTCTTTCGTTTCTACACATTCATGCAGTATTTCATGGTTCTATCAAAGCAGCAGTAAAAAAAATACTCTTGACGCATGAAAATTAACTGGTGAGGGGCCTCATTGCTATTTTTAAATTGTAGTTTTATTTTTAAATAGTCTTTTTTTAATCAGAGGATCAGATGCATGACTTTTTTTTTAATGGATGCAGATCTTCTATCCGGTGTCTCACAATAAATTCAAGAGGATTTTAGTTTGCCAGAAATGTTGCAAATGCACTAATTTTAGCAAGATGTCGATACTTAATATTATCCTCTTGAGACATAATTTTGCATGCAAAATTATCCCATAATCTTTGTAGGTTTGTTAATAATGATGCATTAATGCCCTATATCTAAATCTTCTCCCTTCTCCCCCCCTCCATAACTCTTGGTATCTAAATTGATGACAGCTCTGACACAAGCAAGATAACAGTGCTGTGTAGTATACATTTGTTTATATTATCGGCACTTCTCAGTTTAGGTGGAAGGAACCATTACCTTTATTTAACAGTGGTTTTTCTTTTTTGTTGTTGTGTTTTACAGTTCTTTTCCCTGGTTCAGCCTGAACTATATACCAGGCCCTGCTGAAAATACCACCCAACAGTTTTCTTCTGCAGCTTATCCAGTTTCTCTTAAGTGCCCTGTACATATTGTATGTTTTATGATGAGATGCAGTTTCTTAATATGTATTACAGAAATACTACTGGTATTTGCAAATATGTAGTTTAATTGTATTATTGAACTCTCATTTTGGGGGCTTGGGCACATTAACAGATTAATCCATCTGTATAGGGCTTTTGCTGTTGGATAGAATTTAAATTGTCTACATAAATATTTGTCTCAGGACCCTTAGATTTTATCTGAATACACAGATTAGGCTTTAAAAACAGACATACATATTGTTCTTGGCTTTAGGAGTTTGGCTAAGTTAGCTTTTGAACTGATACTATGTAGCAGCATTTTTTGGTATGGTTAGCATGGCACATATTGGAATATAAAGCATTTTACTGTACAGGTAAGGAATGTGCCATGTTTTACTTATTCTCTCTCTCTTTTCCTCTCACTCACTCCCACACACATCCTGTGTGTATTCAGAGACCTTCAGAAACATTCATATTCATTTTCATGAGTCAGCAAAAGCCCTACTCTTGATTCAACAGAATATTTCCTTTACATACTTTTTTCTCTTAATTTTTACAAAATTGTATGGTAGGTGTAAAAGAAAATCATAGTAACTGTACCATATTATTAACCCCTAAATCAAACTTTTTTTGTCTTGTGTATCTTGATTTTTCTGTGTGCTTTATAGTGAAGCAGCCGACACGAGTCGTTGTTCATAAAACAGCTTTTGAAAGTTGAGAGCACACCCCTGGAGAACCGACTGTGCTTGCTTACGTTTGGTTCATGACTTAAAAATCGAGTACAGGTGATGAAATCTTGGCAGTGTTAACAAAAAAGTAGTGTGTATTGTGCTATTTTTTTTTTACTCTAGAAACTTAACCATTTGTAGAGAAAAAGGAAACAAATTTTCACACATTGAAGTTTCTGACATAAAATTAATGATAAATAATCATAGAAATCAAGCTTTATATTTTAGCGAACATAAGTACTTTCAACAAACTCAGGTGGTGTATCAGGGAGACATTTTCTGGGTGTTTTTGTGTGTTTTCTGTCTTGCAAAAGAGTGTGTTCTAATGCATGGGTGTTTCTCTGCAGGAGTTATTCCTGATGAGACTAAGGCTTTGTCTCTGTTGGCACCAGCTAATGCAGTGGCAGGTCTTCTGCCTGGTGGTGGACTTCTGCCTACTCCTAACCCGCTTACCCAGGTATTAGTTCTATTGAATTCTTAAAGCGTGGGAAGGAACACTGAATGGTGGATAAAGCTAAATATATTTGTGCCTTTTTTGAGTGCTGTGTGATTCCACTTCACAGACTATTGTCACATGGTCAGAGTATTGTAAAATGCTGTTGTATTGTAATCATAAGTATTAAAGTGGTAGTTTACATTATAAGGACATTCTCAAAAATAATAATATATCTTGTAGAGACGGAGGTGGGAGTGGGGATCGGGATGGGGAATACATGTAAATCCATGGCTGATTCATGTCAATGTATGACAAAAACCACTACAATATTATAAAGTAATTAGCCTCCAACTAATAAAAATAAATGAAAAAAAAAGAGTAATATATCTTATCATTTTGTCACTGACTCTCAAAAGCCCGTAAATCATGAGGCATATTTCTGTTGCACATGTTGTTTAAAATAGTATGTTCATTTGAATGGAGAAAATTAAGGTATGAAGTTGACTTTTTTTTTTTCTTTCCCCATACCGTGTTATCTTTTGCTCTTGGGGTTTGCATTAAGTAGATGACTTGAAGATGAATTTTAAGATCTGGGTAATTCATAGGTACCTTTGATGTATAAAATTGTGTAATAACTAAGCCAATTTTACAGTAGTTGATCCTTAAACAATGTGAGTTTGAACTGTTTGCTCCATTTATATGAGGATTTCTTTTTAACTACTACATGGCTTTCCTGGTAGCTCGGACGGTAAAGAATCTACCTGCAATCTAGGAGATCCAGATTTGATCACTAGGTTGGGGAGATCCCCTGGAGAAGGGAATGGCTACACACTCCACTCCAGTATTCGTGCCTGGAGAATTCTATGAACAGAGGAGCGTAGTGGGCTATGTAGTCCATGAGGTTGCAGAGAGTTGGACACAACTGAGTAACTAATGCTTTCACTTTGAATACATATTATAGTACTACACAACCCAAGATTGGTTGAATCAAAATATGGGCCAGTAGATACGGAGAGCTGACTGAAGTTACAGGTCTATTTTCAACTACATGAGGAGTCAGCACCTCTAGCCCACATGTTACTCAAGGATCAACTGTATTAACAGGATTTTAACTCAGTGATCGGTTAAATTAGAGTAAGTCTGCTACCTATACTTAATAAATAATAATGAAACTAGAACTTTAAGCACAGTGCTTGTGAAGAAGCTTAAACTGCGTGCAAAGTTGTAAGATTTTGCATTGTTTGTGTGCATTAAATTGACTTGATTACGAGGAATTCCTTTGTGTCTCAGAAAGTGGAGAATCCTCCTGCAATGCAGAGGACCTGTGTTCGATCCCTGGGTCAGGATGATCCCCTGGAGAAGGGAATGGCTACCCACTTCACTACTCTTATGTGTCGAGAATCCCATGGACAGAGGAGCCTGGCAGGTTACAGTCCAAGGGGGTGCAAAGAGTCAGACACAACTGAGAGACTAAGAACATAAAACAGGAAGTTACTAGGGAACTCTTAATGAATATAAGAATCTCAGGTATAGAAAGAGCCAGTACTGCTGTGGCTAAGAAATGTAAGTAAATAAGTATTAGTTGCTAAATCTTGTCAGATCCTTTGTGACCTCATGGACTGTAGTCCACCAGGCTCCTCTGTCCATGGGATTCTTTAGGCAGGAATACTGGAGTTGGTTGCCACTCCCTTCTCCAGGGGATCTTCCCACCCCAGGGATGGAACCCAGGTCTCCCACATTGCAGGCAGATTCTTTACCATGTGAGCCACCAAGGAAGCCCCAAGGAATAAACTTAAGATACACATCTAGTTGGGGGGAGGAGCCCCCACAGCTTACAGACTTCAACTAGTAATCATCCAACCGTTTAGAGGAAAAAAAAAGTCGACATACTCTCCCAGCCTGACAGTATAAGACAGAAACAAAATTTTAAATAAGCACAATTTGGAATTCCACAGATTGGCGCTGTTCCATTGGCTGCTTTGGGAGCTCCTACCCTTGATCCTGCCCTTGCTGCCCTTGGGCTTCCTGGAGCTAACTTGAACTCACAGGTAATTTAATATCCTTGAATTCTGAGCTCGTTTTGGTAATTAAAGAATTTACTTCATTACATTTTAGTTTGCATTTCAACAGCAGGAGATAACTGACTGTTACATGGTAATGATTTTTTCTTACATAAACTTGTTAATGAGAGATTAGAGGGTCACTGCATTAGCCCCTTGCCCATTAAACAATTTCTCATTTTATAATGTTCAAAGTAAAGACTAGTTTCATAGGAAGCCACTACCACATCAATGTTGCTGAGTCAGAATACAAGTCATGAAAAGATACGAATGTGTTTATAATTTGTTCTCTTGTCATTTACTCACTTGGAAATTTTTGTTTTCCGTCATTGCAATTTAGATGAACTTTCCTGAAGTTCTTTATGAAAACCCTTTGATTATTATACTGACTGAGCACTTTGATTTTTGTTTTACGTGTTTCCTTAAAATGTTACTTGTCCTCAGGAAATCTTTATATAAGCGAATCTATAAAATCTAGATTGTTCAACTTCATCATATTTGTATTTAACCTGATAAAGCAGCTCTGGATATCCAGTACTGTAGTCACTATTGTCATCTGTTTGTTTTTTTGCAGCTAGAAAATTTACTGTGACATATTTAGCTGGCATTATATTTCTGTTGGTCATTGTAGTGCTTGGGATATGTTAGCTTCTATAGGCTTGCCAAATTGTTCTAGGACATTTCAACATACTAAAAAAAATTAAAATAGTAATCATTTATTATTCTGTGTTCTCATTTTTAATATTTTTATTTTCCAGTCTCTTGCTGCAGATCAGTTGCTGAAACTTATGAGTACTGTTGATCCCAAGTAAGAACTTTTTTCCTTTTGCTTCCATTGATGATAGAAATATGTCAATGTCTGCAGATAGCAGTTATTTTTTGATAGCTAAAAGAAATTTATCTCAAGGCATGCAATACATAATCCTGTTTTCTAGAAAGAAAAATCCAGAAGTAAGCACATCTATAAAGGGTTTTGTTTTGGTGTAATTTCTAATCTTTGAAGATCATTGTAAATAGCTTAACCAGAGTGACCAAAACCACCTACCAGAAAAATGGTGCAAGGCAAAATGATTGTCTGAGGAGGCCTTACAGATAGCTGAGAAGAGAAGTGAAAGTCAAAGAGAAAAGGAAAAATAGTGCAGAATTCCAATAATTACTTAGATAAGAAAACCTTCCTAAATGAATAATGCAAAGAAATAGACTCAATACAATGGGAAAGACTAGAGATCTCTTCAGGAAAGTTGGAGATACTAAGGGATTATTTCATGCAAAGGACAGAAAAGGCAAGGACATAACAGAAGCAAAAGATACTAAGAAGAGGTGGCAAAAATACACAGGTGAACTGTACAAAAAAGGTCTTAAGGACATGGATAAAAATGATGGTGTGATCACTTACCTAGTGTCCCATATCCTGGAATGTGAAGTCAAGTGGGCTTTAGGAAGCATTACTATGAACAAAGCTAGTGGACGTGATGGATTCCAGCTGTTACTTCAAATCTTAAAAGATGATGCTGTTAAACTGTTGCATTCAATATGCCATCAAATTTGGAAAACTCATCAGTGGCCACAGGACTAGAAACAGTCAGTTTTCATTCCAGTCCCACAGAAAATGAGTGCCAAAGAATGTTCACCTACTGTACAGTTGCACTTACTTCACATGCTAGCAAGGTAATGCTCACAATCCTTCAAGCCAGGCTTCAACAGTACATGAACCAAGAACTTCCAGGTGTACAAGCTGATTTAGAAAGGCAGAGGAACCAGAGATCAAATAGCCAGTGTCCATTGGATCATAGAAAAAGCAAGGGAATTTAAAAAAAAATCTTCTTCATTGATTACATGAAAGCCTTTGACTATGGATCACAATAAACTGGAAAATTCTTCAAGAAATGGGAATACCAGATCACCTTACCTACCCCCTGAGAAACTTGTATGCAGGTCAAGAACCAATAGAACCAGATGATGGAGCAACGGACTGGTTCAAAATTGGGAAAGGGGTATGTCAAAGCTGTATATTGTCGCCGTTTATTTAACTTATATGCAGAGTACATCATGAGAAATGCCAGGCTGGATGAAACACAAGCTGGAATCAAGACGCCTTTCTGCTGCAAGCCAAGCTGCTTCTCAGACTTATTTCATGAATATCATCCTAAGGATTGTCTCAGGATGACGATTAGAGAGCTTAATGTTGTCTTTAGTTGATTCATTTAAAAAATTACATTGATTGCCTCCTATAAGCTTGTACCTTCATGGCATTTATACTCAGGAAGGGACACATTTTTTAACTACAGTGAAGCATGTGCATCCAACTCGAGGAGGTACAGAGATGCTGTGGGAACGTTATGACAAGGAGAAGAACTTGGCTTGAAGATTAGAGAAACCTGGGAGATGAATAAGAGAAAGACAGAATTGAGGGAAGCACTAGCCCAGAGTAAGAGTAATATATATCACATGCTAAAAGTCACTGTCTTTTCAGTGCTTTGAAAAGTTTTATTCATGCTGCTGTTTATATTTCCTATTTGACATATCACAGATTCTTGAGATGTTTTCATTAGTCATTTCTTAGTGTGTTAAATGAAAGTCACTCAGTCATTTTCAACTCTTTGCGACCCCATGGACTATACAGTTCATGAAATTCTCCAGGCCAGAATAGTGAAGTGTGTATAGCCATTCCCTTCTCCAGGGGATCTTCCCAACCCAGGGGTCAAACCCAGGGCTTCCGCATCGCAGGCAGATTCTTCACCAGCTGAGCCACAAGGAAATCACCTTAGTGTGTGAAATCTGAGCTAAATTTATTTTTTTTTTCTTTTTAATTGGAGGCTAATTACTTTACAATATCGTGGTGGTTTTTGCCATACATTGACATGAAACAACCATGGATGTACATGTGTTCCCTATCCTGAACACCGCTCCTACCTCACTCCTCCCTCCTCATCCCATCCCTCAGGGTCATCCCAGTGCACCAGCCCTGAGCACCCTGTCTCATGCATTGAACCTGGACTGGCAATGATAATGTACAGGGTTCAATGCTATTCTCATCCCACCCTTGCCTTCTCCCACAGAGTCCAAAATACTGTTCTATACATCTGTGTCTCTTTTGCTGTCTCGCATGTAGGGTCATCGTTACATCATTCTAAATTCCATATATGTGGGTTAGCATACTATATTGGTGTTTTTCTTTCTGACTTACTTCACTCTGTATAATAGGCTCCAGTTTCATCCACCTCATTAGAACTGATTTTCTTTTTAACTGGGTGAGCGTCACTGTCAGTAAGTAGGAAGGCATGTGAGGGAGGCAGAACAGAATCATTTGATTATTAGTTACTGGCATTTTTTCTAAACATGACCAGGGGAAATCCAAGCATGTATCTACCATGAAGCTTATTAAGTAAAATATGACTAATAGAGTTAAAAAATAAAAAAAACCTCCCTGTAGTCATTCTTGTTTACAGTTTACAGTGCCAACAAATAATTATCATCCTCAACTTGGTGTCTATGGTTTTTTCTCACTTTTATAAACCCTTAAGGCTAAAGACTAAACCCTTTAACCTTTTCAGTCAGGAATTTCATAAGTAACCTTGGTATGTCATCAGCTTCTGCCTCAGTTTGTCATCTGCAAACTTAAAAAGGAATTCTCTTCCCCAACAAAATTAGGATGAAGTAGAAAAGTTTTTTAAATCACGTGAAGGAACGTTCTATTAATCAAAAATAATTGGCATTATTATATTATCGTTTACTAACAATTCTTAGAAAGTATATGGAAAGTTGATGGATGTTCAGCAAAATTAGTTTTTTCTTACTTGACATATCTGCTTCTTTTAAAATGGCAAGTGCCGGAGAAGGAAATGGCAACCCACTCCAGTACTCTTGCCTGGGAAATCCCATGGACAAAGGAATCTGGTAGGTTATGGTCCATGGGGTCGCAAAGAGTTGGTCATGACTGAGCGACTTCACTTCACTTATATTGCATTTATTCTTTTGCAACTTGTATTTTTTATTTAATATTACATCTATGAGATGTAATATGAATACTTCTAGCTCGTTCATTATTTTTTTCTCTGCTTTTTAGTATTAATACAAGCATTCTAAAATTTAAAAAAATAAATAAAATGGCAAGTGCCGTTTTGCATAGTGTCATTTCACTATATTGTGTATGGTTTTGCCAAAGTTATGGAGTCTTCTCACTTTTTTTAAAGGAGTATCTTAGTAAAATGATGGGAAACAGGTATTTAATTGGATATATAAATATGTTTTTAAATATATCAAATGCAATTCTTGTTTCTTTTCCAGATTGAATCATGTCGCTGCTGGTCTTGTTTCACCAAGTCTGAAATCAGATACCTCTAGTAAAGAAATAGAGGAAGCCATGAAGAGAGTACGAGAAGCACAGTCCCTAATTTCTGCTGCTATAGAACCAGGTAAAATAGATCTATGCAATTATGTTTGGAAATATTTTGAATAATACTTTAGTCATTTTCCCCCCCATATTTTTATAAAAGGTCTTTTAGGGCCATGATTCTCATTTCAGAGGTGGATGGGTGGTATGGATAAGTGTTGTCACCCAGACATATTTGGAAATACCTGGAGAAACTTAGTTGTCATGCTGGTACAAACTACCATCCAATGGGTAGAGGGCCAGGGATATGCTAAACATCTTACAGTGTTCAAGACAGACATCTCCCAATTCCTAAAGAGAGAATTACTCATTCTGAAACATTGGTGCCTAGGAGTACCTAATGCTTTGTGTGGTATTTTGGTTGTTTTTAATTTGGGGGGTTTTACTGTTGTTTTTAGTCATTTATGTTTGCCTCAGTTCAGGTATGACCTAAATCAGATCCCTTAATGACTAGACAGTGGAAGTGAGAAGTAGATTTAAGGGACTAGATCTGACAGTCAGAGAGCCTGATGCCCTATGGACGGAGGTTCATGACATGGTACAGGAGACAGGGATCAAGACCATCCCCATGGAAAAGAAATGCAAAACAGCAAAATGGCTGTCTGAGGAGGCCTTACAAATAGCTGTGAAAAGAAGAGAAGCAAAAAAAAAAAGGAGAAAAGGAAAGATATTCCCATTTGAATGCAGAGTTCCAAAGAATAGCAAGGAGAGGTAAGAAAGCCTTCCTCAGCAATCAATGCAAAGAAATAGAGGAAAACAACAGAATAGGAAAGACTAGAGATCTCTTCAAGAAAATTAGAGATATCGAGGGAATATTTCGTGCAAAGATGGGCTCAATAAAGGACAGAAATGGTATGGACCTAACAGAAGCAGAAGATATTAAGAAGAGGTGGCAAGAATACACAGAACTGTACAAAAAAGATCTTCACAATGCAGATAATCAAGATGGTGTGATCATTCACCTAAAGCCAGACATCCTGGAATGTGAAGTCAAGTGGGCCTTAGAAAGCATCACTATGAACAAAGCTAGTGGAGGTGATGGAATTCCAGTTGAGCTATTTCAAATCTGAAAAAAAGATGATGCTGTGAAAGTGCTGCACTCAATATGTCAGCAAATTTGGAAAACTCAGCAGTGGCCACAGGACTGGAAAAGGTCAGTTTTCAGTCCAATCCCTAAGAAAGGCAATGCCAAAGAACGCTCAAACTACCGCACAATTGGCACTCATCTCACACGCTAGTAAGGTAATGCTCAAAATTCTCCAAGCCAGGCTTCAGCAATACGTGAGCCGTGAACTTCCAGATATTCAAGCTGGTTTTAGAAAAGGCAGAGGAACCAAAGATCAAATTGCCAACATCCGCTGGATCGTCGAAAAAGCAAGAGAGTTCCAGAAAAATATCCATTTCTGCTTTACTGACTATGCTAAAGCCTTTGACTGTGTGGATCACAATAAAACTGGAAAATTCTGAAAGAGATGGGCATACCACACCACCTGAGCTGCCTCTCGAGAAACCTGCATGCAGGTCAGGAAGCAACAGTTAGAACTGTACATGAAACAACAAACTGATTCCAAATAGGAGAAGGAGTATGTCAAGTCTGTATATTGTCACCTTGCTTATTTAACTTATATGCAGAATACATCATGAGAAACACTGGGCTGGAGGAAGCACAAGCTGGAATCAAGATTGCTGGGAGAAGTATCAATCACCTCAGATATGCAGATGACACCACCCTTATGGCAGAAAGTGAAGAAGAACTAAAGAGCTTCTTGATGAAAGTGAAAGAGAAAAAGTTGGCTTAAAGCTCAACATTCAGAAAACTAAAATCATCGCAGCCAGTCCCATCACTTCATGGGAAATAGATGGGGAAACAGTGGCTCACTTTATGTTTTGGGGCTCCAAAATCACTGCCGATGGTGATTGCAGCCATGAAATTAAAAGACACTTACTCCTTGGAAGGAAAGTTATGAACAACCTAGATAGCATATTAAAAAGCAGAGACATTACTTTGTCAACAAAGGTCTGTCTAGTCAAAGCTATGGTTTTTCCAGTAGTCATGTATGGATGTGAGAGTTGGACTGTAAAGAAAGCTGAGTGCTGAAGAACTGATGCTTTTGAACTGTGGTATTGGAGAAGACTCTTGAGAGTTCCTTGAACTGTAAGGAAATCCAACCAGTCCATCCTAAAGGAGATCAGTCCTGGGTGTTCATTGGAAGGACTGATGTTGAAGCTGAAACTCCAGTACTTTGGCCATCTCATGGGAAGAATTGACTCATTGGAAAAGACCCTAATGCTGGGAAGGATTGGGGGCAGGAGTTGAAAGGGATGACAGAGGATGAGATGGTTAGATGGCATCACCGATCAATAGACATGAGTTTGGGTAAACGCGGGAGTTGGTGATGGACAGGGAGGCCTGGTGTACTGTGGTTCATGGGGTCGCAAAGAGTCGGACACGAGTGAGTGACTGAACTGAACTGAAGTTGGAGTAGCCTGATATGTAGTCTTTTATTTGACCAAGAAAGCCTTATGTTCTTCTATGCACACCATTTGTTTAAAGAAAAGGAAATATATTATTCTTTGCAGATTGTCTTTTTGTGATGAGATGAATGGCTGTCCCATTTTCTGCGCATATGTATTTGGATCTTTGGTCCTGACTTTTTTTTATTGTTATAAACAATGCTTTATTCATTTTCTTCATTCCGGTTCTCACTGGGATGGTTTTTGTGTATGGTTTTAGACAAATAAAGTATAATGGATAATACCAAATGCTTTCTTTTTCTTTTTTTTTTTTAATACAAAATGCTTTCTGTGTATTGTCTCATTTAACCAAGTTATTAAATAATTAACCCAGGGTCAGATGGGAAGCAGTTTATGTAGATAACTATACAGATATAGTTTATATAGATAAGCAGTTTATATAGATCCAGTTATTTATATATATATATAGAGAGAGAGAGAGATGGATATAGATATATATAACTCCAAAACCAGAACACCATTTCTGTTTTCATTGGAAACTCATAACTGAAATGATTAGAAACAACTTACTTTATGAAATTTTTTTTGCTGCATGAATTTTTGTTAATTTGATATTCATAAAAAGTTGAATTAATGAAATGATAGAAATGTAAAAGAGGAACTCACTCATTCTCACTTTGTGCAAGCAGGCTAAGTCGTCTGTTATGTCTGACTCTTGTAACCCTGTGGACTATGGCTCACCAGGCTACTCTGTCCATGGGATTCTCCAGGCAAGAATAGTGGAGTGGGTTGCCATGCCCTGCTCCAGGGGATCTTCCTGACCCAGTGTAGCTGCTGCATTGCAAATGAATTCTTGATTCTCAGTCACGGGGGCGAGCGCAGCATTCTCACTTTGGATGATAGTCCATATGTGAAGAATGCAATGGCTGTATTTCTCCTCATTCGGTCCTTTGTTAAAGGAATTTATGTGTTATTTACTAAATGGTAACAGATCATTCTTGCTCTGCTCGTAAACTTACACAGTGTTGAAAATGAGTGCAAAAGTAGAACAGAAAGATTAAAAAGAGAGCTGGTTTAGTTAATTTCTATCCCAGAAGTAAAGAAATGAGTGATTGAATGAGACATATCTAGGAAAGGAGCATAGAGCTAAGTGATGACTAAAAAGGAACATTTTGCTGGTCCAAGAATTTTAAATGTTTATCTTATGTTTTTTATTATAAATATAAACATTTTACACTTAAGTACAGTTTGGGGAGGTGTTTATAATACATGAATATGTACAGAGTAGAGTTTTAATCTGGGTAAATTGTAACTATGTTTGGGGAAGGAGACCCTAAGGAATGCAAAAAGGATTCATGATTTAGAAACCTGTAAAGAGTAAAGAATGAGAAAGGTCGTTATTTTCATAGATTGTTTTATGTATGACACTTCATAGCTTCAGAAACCTTTAGCTACCTGAATTTAAGGATCATATATCAAACCTGAAAATTAGGGTAATAAACTCTTAGAGTAACTCCTAAATGGAAATAATCTTTTTGCAAATGGGAATAGTCTTTTTGCTTAATGATTTCTAAATCCAGATTCCTTTTCATTTAAATCCAGATAAGAAAGAAGAAAAACGAAGGCACTCAAGGTCAAGATCACGTTCTAGGAGGAGGAGGACTCCCTCATCTTCCAGACACAGGTAATTAGATTGATTGCTGTTTGGTAGTAAGTTCTTCCTTAGACAAAGATTATTTCCCTATGTCACATCTGCTGTTAACCTAATTATTAGCTCATGGTTGCAGTGGTTTTGATAAGTAATGATATTTGCAGAGTATGTGAATTACTGTTCACAGGTATATAAATAGAGAAAAGATGGTAGATAGTTTAAAATCCCCCCAAAAATCCAGGGATAGGAAGAAGCCACTGGAATTTGAGCACTAAAATGAATTAGTACTCTGGAAAGGACACTGAACTTGAAACTTTTGGCTTGAATTCTAGTTCTGACATTTCACTAGACTCCTGACTTGCAACATGGAGAGTTGTTATGCAACCTTAGCTTACCCATCTAAAGCTTGAATATTTGCAGATGACGTGTTTTGAGATTGCTCTTTGTATTACTGGATAAACTACATGATGCTAACTATTATTCTTTATCCTACCTAGAGTAAGACTCTGCAGGGTAAAGGACCAGTGTATTCTCTTTCTCACATGACATAGTTGTGTAGATTTGTAAGGATCTTTCTGGACCGTTGACTCTCAAACCTGCTGATATTAGGCCCTCTATACTCATAAAAAATAGAAGAACTCCAATTAGCTTTTTTGTTTATGTGGTTTGAAACCATCATTTGAAATTATAATGAATATTGAAACCCATTCATATTAACTTAGCTTTGAAACAAAGCTTTTCCCCCAAAAATTAAAAGAATGGCTTTGTTTACATCTTCCATCTTTGCAAATTTCTTTAACATTTAGCTTAATAGAAGATGTATAGGATTCTGCATTCAGCTTATTATTGTATATTTTGGTAAATATATATACAAAATCTTGACTTTACACAAATATTTAGTGAGAAGAGGGAAAAGTAATTTTATAGTCTTTTCAGGTAATTGGAAGTAGTATTCTTTGATATAATACCAAAATATGTAAAATCTGTTGATCTTTATTATACTTTGAGTGAATTGTTTCACCAGGCATCCTTTTGTACAGTTATGCATTTGGAAAATGATTGATTGATTGCATTATGCAAATTTTCAAAATGTTGACACATTTTTACGCAAAAGATGACTTGGTAGTATCACCATACATCTTACCAGTAAACCCTTTTAAAATGTTGGAAGCTGTCAGGTTCACAAAGGTGGGTTTAAGTTTTCCAAAGTTTAATTTTCTCCTGAAAGCTCAGATTTTATTATTGGCAGCAAATTTTATTCCTTGAAATGATAAACAATTCATTTTTCGTGAAAGTGTCTACCAGATACCCAAGTCTGAACAACCATGGTTTGTCAGTTCTTTCAAGTAAAGATGTTTCATGGCAAAAGCAATTAGGTAAGCTCACACTCAATCACACAAGTGTTTTCCTTGACAGTCACTGAACTTAAAAGTATCAGAAATGATTTATGCATACTGCTCATTTCATTGCAGATTGTTGCTGAAGGGACCAGATTTAACATTTCTAGTCAATAATGATACTGCTTTAGTAGTACTCAAGGAATTAGATTTAATAAAGTTAATAGTTTTTGCTGGCTCTATCAAAGACGTCCTTGGTGAAAATGGCAGGATTTTCACTACAGAATCTTCACTGCAAATGCCAGTGAAGAATACAGTAAATAACAGGTTCAGTTGCCACTATCTTGATTTGTAGTAAGGAGATGCTTTTGCACCATTGGTACAAATGTCAAAGTGGCAAAGGCAGGTATTACCTTATGATTCTGGGGTGGGTAGTTGACCTTATAGCTCCCATAGCATTGTTAAGTTATTTCTTAGACTGTGCCTTAGTCCATTTGACTGCTATAACAGGATACCATAGACTGGGTGGCTTATAAACAATAGAAATTTACTTCTGACAGTTCTGGAAGCTGGGAAATTCAAGATCAAGGTGTCAGAAAATTTGCTGTCTGGTGAGGACCTACTTCCTCATTTATATTGATGGTTTCCTATATCTTCACTGTGACCTCACATAGAAGGATGGACCAGGGGGTGGGGTATCTCAGAATTATTTTTTATTTTTAATAATTTTATTTATTTATTTTTGAGTGTGCTGGGTCTTGGTTGCTGTGCAGGCTTTTAGCTAGTTCTGGTAAGTGGGGCTACTCTGTGGTTATGGTGTTTGGGCTTCTCATTGCAGTGGTTTTTCTTGTTACGGAGCACAGGCTGTAGCACGCTCAGGCTTCAGTTGTCAGGGCACATGACCTCAGTAGTACTGGCTCCAGGCTCTAGAGCACAGGTCAGTAGTTGTGGCTCACGGGCTTAGTTCCTCCGTGGCATGTGCAATGTTCATGGACCAGGGATGGAACCCCTGTTTCCTGCATTGGCAGGTGGATTCTTTGCCACTGAGCCACCAGAGAAGCCCCCTTTGAGACGTCTTTCATAAACACATTCATCCTATTCATGAAAGCTGGGCCTTCATAACCTAATCACCCCAAAGGCTCCTACCTCATGACATGATCACATTGGATATTTGGTTTCCTGTAAGAATTCTGGGAGGGCACAGAATTGCAGTCTGCAGCAGAACGTTACAGGATGGTCCTGTCTGCTGTGTCCGTGTCATCCACCTTCACCCCAGTCCATTTCGTGCTTAAAGATTTTGCCTTTCAAAAACCTAAATCTAGAACATCTGAGGGCTCCACTGAACCTTTAGAAGTTCCCTATTGCCTTAATAAGATGACACACAAAACCTTACTATTCGTCTTAGTTTAATCTTTCCACATTTAACATTTGCCACTCCAAAACTGCTAACTTAGTTATTATATTTGTTATGGTACTCTGTGATTAGTGATCATTGATGTTACTGTTGCAAAAAGATTATGGCTCACTGAAGGCTCAGGTGATGTTTAGCAGTTGAGAAACAATATTTCTTTAATGTATGTACAATGTTTTTTAGCCATAATGTTATTGCATACTTCACAGACTATAGTGTAAACATAACTTTAAGTGTACTGGGAAACCAAAAATTCATTGTGACATACTATTACTGTGTTATCTTTATGGCAGTGGTCTGGGAGCAAACTCAGTATCTCTGAGCTGTGCCTATACTTAGAATATTAACTTTCCAGGACAAGTGCTTTCATGGCTTTATTTAATACTTAAAAAGACTTAAAAAGGAGAACTTACATCTTTTGTATATACGAGTTACATGCTGAGGCTTTCAAATATTAATTTTAATTATGACTATGAGAGAAAAGTCCTTTGGAACACTTGTAGTAACACATCATAGCAGAAAGATAGTTGTTATAAATTGTAGTATTTTAAGCATCTTGACATATAAAATGACCATTATTTTTAATAATGCTTTTTACTTATATATAAATAGTAATTAATAATAGATAATAATCATTGTTGTTCAATTGCTCAGTTGTATGCAACTCTCTGACCCCGTGGATTGCAGCACGCAAGCTTTCCCTGTCCTTCACTATCTCCCAGAGTTTGTTCAGACTCTTGTTTATTGAGTCGGTGATGCCATCCAACCGTCTCATCCTCTGTCGGCCCTTTCTTGTCCTGCCCTCAATCTTTCCCAGCCTCAGGGTCTTTTCCAATGAGTCAGCTCTTCTCATCAGCTGGCAAAAGTATTGAAGCTCCAGCATCAGTCCTTCCAGTGAATATTCAGGGTTGATTTCCTTTGGGACTGACTAGTTTGATCTTGCAGTCCAAGGAACTCTTTTAAGAGTCTTGTCCAGCACCACAGCTCAAAAGCATTAATTCTTTGGCATTTAACCTTTATGGTCCAACTCTCACATGCATACATGTCTACAGGAAAAACCATAGCTTTGCCTGTGCAGACCTTTGTCGGTGAAATGATGTCTCTGCTTTTGAATATACTGTCTGAAAAAGTTAAAGTGTAGTCGCTCAGTCGTGTCCGACTCTTTGTGACCCCATGGACTGTAGCCTACCAGGCTCCTCCTTCCGTCTATGGGCTTTTCCAGGCAAGGGTACTGGAGTGGGTTGCCATTTCCTTCTCCAGGGGCATCTTCCCAACTCAGGGATTGAACCTGGTCTCCCAAATTGTAGGCAGATGCTCTTTCTGAGCTACTAGGGAAGTCAGTGGTTTGTCATTGCTTTTCTTCCAAGGAACAAGAGTCCTTGAATTTCATGGCTCTAGTCACTGTCCACAGTGATTTTGGAGCTCAAGAAAATAAAATCTGTTTCCACATTTTCCCCATCTATTTGTCAAGAAGTGATGACACCAGATGCCATGATCTTCGTTTTTTTGAATGTTGAGTTTTAAGCCCGCTTTTTCCCTCTCTTCTTGCACCTTCATCAAGAGGCTCTTTAGTTTCTCTTCATTTTCTGCCATTAGGGTGGTATCATCTGTGAATCTGAGGTGGTTGATACTTCTGGCAATCTTGATTCCAGCTTGTGAGTCATCTAGCCCAGCATGAAGTACTCTGCACGTAAGTTAAATAAGCAGGATGACAGTATACAGCCTTGCCGAACTACTTACCCAGTTTTCAGCGAGTCTGTTGTTCCATGTCCATTTCTAACTGTTCCTTCTTGACCTAGATACAGGTTTCTTGGGAAGCAGGTAAGGAGATCTGGTATTCCTGTCTCTTTAAGAATTTTCCACAGTTTGTTGTGATCTGTACAGTCAAGAGGCTTCAGCGTAGTCAGTGAGGCAGAATTAGTAATTTTTCTTTTGAAATTCCCTTGCTTTTTCTATGATCGTACAGATCTTGACTGTTTGATCTCTTGTTCCTCTGCCTTTTCTAAATCTCACTTGTACATGTGGAATTTCTTGGTTCATGTACTGTTGAAGCCTGGCTTGAGGAATTGTGAGCATTACCGTGCTAACTTGTGAAATGAGCGCAGTTGTACATTAGTATGAACATTTCTGGGCATTGCCTTTCTTTGGGATTGGAATGAAAACTGACCTTTTCCAGTCCTGTGACCAACCATTGCTGAGTTTTCCAAATTTGATGGCATATTGAGTGCAGCTCTTTAACAGCACTATCTTTTATGATTTGAAATATCTCAGCTGGAATTCGATCACCTCCACTAGCTTTGTTATATAAGTGGTAATCTCTATATTTCTCTAATGTTAAAAGCTTATATGAACTGAATGTTGAAGTGACTGCAGTGCAATGCTGTTGAAAAATAACTGTTTCAGGACCTTATAGTAAACTGATAGATGTAATACTTCTGCTTATTAGATTTTTTAAATCTTTATATTATTAATCACTTCATTTAGAAGGAAACACATGAGAATGCATTTATAATTTTTTACAACCATTTTTTTATACATTAGAGGTAAGGTAAATGTGTTACATAGTTTTGCTAAAATGATTGTTAAGTTTAATTTTTTTTAAAGCCAAATTTTTCAAAAGATGAACAGTAGCTAATTCAAACAGCATCAATTCTGGTTTTCCATAATTTTTTTTTAATTCTTCATAAGAAAATGATGGTTCTGATAATTCTAGAGGGTCAGTGTTTCCCTCAAAATACATTAGTAGTACCTTTCATTACACAATATAGTAGTTGTTGCTCAAGGGCACAGTTGGTAAATAAGGGAGACATATATACCCCTATCCTTATGGAGCTTAAAGAAAGGTAGGTAAGCATTACATGAAAATTTCCTGGGATATAGACATGTTATTGAGAGGGATTGTTTAGTTTCAGATATGGTCAAAAATAAGTGATGTACAAAATACAGTTACTGAATTTGATGAGATGTTACTCCTAATGGGTTTTGAAACAGCTGTTCTAGAGAATGAGGGCAACACTATGGTAGCGTAGCAATAAGAGCAGAGGGAGTCAATATTTAATTTACATGTCTACACTAAGGTGCTGAGCTGGATTTTATAATTTTCCTTGAATTACAACTATTCTATGATGTAGGTGCTGTTTTTTTTTTTTTTTTTTTTTTTTGGCTGAAGTAATAGGCTCAGGTTAAATAATGAATACTTTTATTAACTGACTTTAAAAGGGAGATTTGAACACAAATCTTTTGCAATACTAAAATGTCTATCCTTTGGCACTTTGAAAATAATGAAAGCAAAAAGTTTAAATTGTATTTGAAGTTTTCCATGGAAAAAGGTTGAATGGTTCACTAAAAGCTAAATGACCAATCCTAAGCAAAGAACTGCCATTTGCTTTCAATTTTTCTTAAAATAGGAAGGAGTAAAATGGGGAAAAGGATCAATGACAAATCAAAAGGTTAGTTGCACTTAACCTTTTAGAGAAAACACGGGAATTGGAGGTGATAATGCAGTAGGCGCAGAGAAACATGTATTACAGGCAGGAAAGAGATGGTCGTACAATATTGGGGGCACATGAGAGTGAAAAGCACAGTTTATACTGAGTTGTGTGTATCTGTATCTGGCCTGCATTACTTGTATCTGTTAAACTGCAAATTAAAGAAGAGGAATGTATATCAGAGAACAGCAATTAGAAACCATAGAAACCAATACAGTTTGTGGTTTCTTTTTGAAATACTGAAGTGGGTTACTATGCCCATTCTCCAGGGATCTTCCCAGCTCTTAAGTCTCCTGCTTTGGCAGGTGAGTTCTTTACCACTAGTGCCTCCTGGCAAGCCCAAAATGGGAATAATAATAGCATATACTATTACTAGGTTTATTATGAAAGTAAATGAGTGAATATTGATAAAGCATGTAATGGGCATAAGTAAGTATTTGATAAGTAGTAAATGGATTTAACTTGTAATAGTGAGGAATAAAATTAGGTACCTTCTAAAATGCTGTGTAATTATGAAGTGTTGCAAATGAGTCATATTTTTTATTTTCCTTCATTTTCTAGCAATATTTTTAAGTTTGGAGTTGTAATTTCAGTGGGCAAAGTAGGATTGGTTTGACAGGTTGAACGACAGATTAAAAGGTGAGAAATTCCACGTGTTAAAAGGTATTTTCTAACTTCTGGGATATCAGATGTTGTGTGGAATAAATAAGTAATGGCAGGAAATTACCCTCACTTACTGATGGCTAGCCAACATGTCTGAATCTTTGGTCCTACACTTAATACGAAATAATCAAAAGTAGAGCTAGTCTTTTTAGGTTTATATACATATATCTGCTTCCTTTTACTTTATAAGGCGGTCAAGAAGCAGATCAAGAAGGCGATCACATTCTAAGTCCAGGAGTAGACGACGATCCAAAAGTCCAAGACGGAGAAGATCGCATTCCAGAGAGAGGGGTAGAAGGTCAAGGAGCACGTCAAAAAACAGGTACAGTAGAAAACTGTTAATGAGTGAGTAAAATTTCTCTGTAGTAAGAATTCTTGGCTATTTCTACTGCCTTTTTTCATTTCGTCTTTTCCATTCAACCATTGGTAAGAATTTTGTGTTCCCAGCAACATCTTGATATGCCAGAGTTTTTGGCAGACAGTCATGCCTTCTTAATTCTTCTTTATATATCTCGTCATGAGCAGCTTTTTAGTATGAATTGGTATTGCTATATTCGTGACACTGAACCATACTTAAGAGTCTAATCCCGTGATTTGGGGCCAGTGAAGAATGAAAGTGAGGATTCACTGAAAACCAAAATATCCACACCTTAACATTGTATTTTGACTTAAACATTCATTCAGTAATTTGTTTTTCATACAGGGACAAACCCTTTGAAATTAATAGGCCTAGTCTTGAGTAATAGATACAAAATGACTTTCTTTTTGTTTAAACCACCTTTAAAGTATCAAGAACTCTGTTACTTGAAAGTGCTTAGATTTTTTCCCTCCATTTTTAGCTGCCACACAGTATAATCTTGAAACACTTATTTTTTAAACTGCTGTCTTTTATATCTTTCTAAAATACTTACCTTAAATTCTAGAAACAGCCCTATGTTTTATACTTTACCCATTTATGTATTTAATTATGTGATTAAAAGTAGTAAGAATCACAGCAAAAAGCAACAAAATTTATTTATTTTTTCAAAATTTATTCTTGGTAAGCATATAACTCAACCTGGGACTTGGGTTTTGTGATAGCTTTACTGCATATTCAGCCTCTGCTAAGACTAGTCATCTCTTAGTCAGACAAGCTTACTTAATGAACCATCTCTTATACAAAGAGCAATTAGGCATTCCTTCCCTTAAGGAAGTTTATCTAGGGGAGAAATTAATGTAATTACCAAGGAAGGGCCATTGTTAGGGATGTTGGAAGAGATCTGTTGAGAGGTGACTTGAGTATTAAATTCTGATAGATTTGACTGGACTCCGGAGCGTGATTTCTGATAGAGAATACTTACAGGGTTAGCATGAATTCTTTAAATAAGGAGTGTGTTGGTGTAGAAGGACCAGGAAATGAAGTCAGGGCAGTTGAGACAGATCACACTTTATGTGTGATTTGGCTTTATTGTTCACACTAAAGAGTTTACAACTGATCCTGAAGTCAGTGGGAATTAATTGAAAAATGATAAGCAGAGAATTAATATTTTCAGGTATGTACTTTGAAAGATTTCTGGTAAATGGGTATAATATGAATTTGTGAAAAACATGACTGGGACCACTTAAGGGACCATTTAAGTAATATTGGAATTAGATAATGAACACTTGACTGAATAGAGAATATAACTGATGGAGCAGAGTGAGCAAAGACGGGAGGGAATGAAATAGAGAATATAGGGTGGAATTAGTTTACAGCAACTAAAGTGATACTTCAGTCTCTAAAGTTATAAAATAGTTGAAAATAGGTGTGTGTTTATGAATATAAGGGTATAAAAGACATTATATATGTGTAATGAATAAAAGTGCTGTGGGGAATAAAAATAAACTTAGAAAAATCTGTAAAAAGATTTAGAGTTGAGGTATGATTGTAGTACCAGTCCATTATGATTTTTTTTCCTAATAGTATTGAGTAGCCCAGAATATATAATAGCAGGGCAACAATTAGAAGGTTGGCTTCATTCATGATAGATGTTTACATCAGGTGTGTACTTTGAAAGAATAACTTAAAAGTTTTTATCAGAATACCATATTTTAAGAATGAGATTCCATTTCATTGTACTTTTGTTTTAATTTGTATATATATTTTCTCTGTTAACTGAATCTTTTAACACTAGTAAATTGTGTTCATTTATTAGAGACAAAAAGAAAGAAGACAAAGAAAAAAAACGTTCCAAAACACCACCAAAAAGTTATAGCACAGCCAGACGTTCCAGAAGTGCTAGCAGGTAGGGTGGCATTATGAATTCTTGGTGTTGTTTTTTAAACTTTGTTTGCAAAGACTCATTAGGCTATGAACGTGAAATGTTTTCCAGTACAGAACTACATACTTTAATGGTGATGTTTTCTAAAGGCAATCTGTGAAGAATAAGTTTTCAATTAATTCTTTATGGTATAGAGTTCATTTAAAATAACATGGAATTCAACAGAGGTCAGTTTTTATGTTTGTTCTATGCATTTCATATCCTAATTTGAACTGTTTGTGTGTTTCTTTCCCCCTCCCCAAGCATTTAATGGCTAAAGTATAGTGCATTATCACATTGGATTCATTTTATTACATGTTAATACTCAAAATAGTTTTTTTTTCCATACATAATGGTTTGTTGATAAAATAATTGGAGGCAAGGCAAGTTCTAGTTGGTGTCATTCTTAGAGTAGTTAATCTGCTATGGTGAAAATTTAGCATTGTAAACTTTCAGAAAATGTATTTTTCACACTTAAACATGGAATTCATGTGATGGTAGAAAGTAGAGCCGTACTTAACTCCATTTTCTTCCTGTCTTGTTTACACATTTTACTACAGTGTTTGTTTTCTTAATCTTGATTATTTAAATTCACCTCAGGGCTCAAACTGTCTATAAAAATTACTTAAAATGGATAAAAAACTTAAACAGAAAAGCCAAAACTAAAAAGCTCTTAGAAAAAAACATGTAAGTTAACCTTCATGACCTGGAATTTGTCAGTGGTTCTCTACATATGACAAAAGTCGTAAGCAGCAAAAGAAAAATAGACAAGTTTGAGGATAATAAAAACTGAAGACTTTTTGTTTCAAAGAACACTGTTAAAGACAGCCCTCAGAGTGCCAGAAAAATGTTTCCAATAATGAACTTCTATCTAGAATATATTAAGAAAACTTAAAACTCGGTCATAGAAAGAAGGAATGTAAAATTGTGCAGCTGCATTGGAAAAACAGGTTGGCGATTCCTACAGAAATTAAATTTAAGAGCTCTTTAACACAGCAGTTTTGTTCTCAGCGATATGCCCAAGAGAAACAAAAACATGTCGGCACAAAAACTTAGACATGAATGTTCTTGGCAGCTTTATTCATAACCAAGAAGTCAACCCAAATACCCACTTAACACGGGTAAACAAAGTTGTACACTCATACAATAGATTATTATTCATCTGTAAAAGGAACCAAAGTAATGATAGATAGTACAATATGAATGAGCCTTGAAAACATGCCATGTTAAAGAAGCTAGTCACAGCAGACCACACATTGTATGATTTCATTCATATGAAATGTACAGAATGGATGAATCTATAAAGTAGATTAGTGGTTGGAGTATGATAGCTAAAGACACGGGGTCTCTTCAGGGTGTTGAAAATTGTCTTTTTAAAAATTCTATGTATATATAAAGAAAGTGAAACCAAATATAAGTGCTGAAGGAATACCAAAATGGGTCTAAGGCAGCTAAGGGGCATAAGAAATGAGATGTGCAATATGTATTCTATTACCTTAAAAACTGGAGGCGTATATTATTTGTTTCTTTATTTAATGGACTTGCTCATAAGTGCCTTACTCTGCTTAATTATTGAATCATTCTTTTTCTATCATTTTTGGCTGCATTGGGTCTTCGTTGCTGTGCACAGGCTCTCAGGTGCAGCAAGCAGTAGCTACTCTCATTGCTCTGTGTGGGCTTCTTATCTTGGAGAGCACAGGCTCTGGGGGCTCACAGGCTTCAGTAGTTTTGGCATGTGAGCTCTAGAGCTAAGGTTCCATCGTTGTGGCACAAGGGCTCAGCTGCCCCATGGCATGTGGAATTCTTCCAGGCCAGGATTGAACCTGTGTTCCCTGCATTGGCAGGCAGACTCCCAACCAGTGGACCACCAGGGAAATCCTGAATCATTCTTAAATTACGGCATATTCTTTACATTTTTAATGAATACCTGGTAACATGTTACCTGGTACCTACCTGGTAGCTGTCATAGAGTCTATTATAGGTCACAGAAATAAAACTTTTTAAAGCCCATCTTTTCTAAGGAATATGGAATGTTTGTTACACAAAGCAGTATGAAAAGTATTAGGTATACAACCCTGACAAGCTTAATAAATATTTGATGAAGGGAAAGTTCTGTGTAATGTTTCCAGGACAGGGGTCACAGACAACTTGTAGTTTTTTGTTCTTTAAAGCTTCGAAGGCTGCTGAAAGGAAGATTCTTCAAGCATATCGGGCTTAATTTTTTGTGTGTCTAAATCATATATTTTTATAAAAGTTTACTATCTTCTTACAGTTATTACAGAACATTGACTCTATTCCCCATGTTGTATAAGACATCCTTGAGTCTGTCTTAAACTTAATAGTTGCTTGTCATTAGGTGGGTTTTTAAGTATAGTTGCTATACTATAGCAATTCCCAATTTTTAAAGATTATGCTCGTTTATTGTTGTTATAAAATACTGGCTATATTCCTTGTGTTGTAAGATATATCATAGTAGCTTATTTTACACCTAATAGTTTGTATCTCTTAATCCTCTACATATAATGTCCCCTGCCTTTCCTCTTCCCAGTAGTAACCACTAGTTTTCTCTCTGAGTCTGCTTTTTTGTTATATTCACTAGTTTGTTGTATTTTTCAGATTACATGTGTAAGTTATATCCTACAGTATTTGTCTGTCTCTGACTTATTTCACTTTGCTTAAATGCCCTCCATGTCCATCCATGTTGCTGCACATGGCACAATTTCATTCTTTTTTATGGCTTACTAATATTCTGTTGTATAAATAATAGCAGTTTTCTTTATCCATTCTTTTGTTGATGAACACTTATATAGCTTCTATATCTTGAGAATTATTTAAAAATGGTACTGTGAATATTGGGGTTACTTTTCTACCAGTAGTGTAGGAGGGTTCCATTTTCTTTACACCCTCTCCAGCATTTATTATTTGTACACTTTTTGATGATGGCTGTTCTGACCACTGTGAGGTGATAGATAACTCATTGTAGTTTTGATTTGCACTTCTCTTAATAATTAGCAGTGTTGAGCATCTTCACTTTTGGCCATCCAGATGTCGTCTTTGGTGAAATGTCTGTTTAGGTCTTTGGCCCATTTTTGATTGTTCGATACTGAGCTGTCTAAGCTATTTGTATATTTTGGGGATTAATGCCTTGTCAGTCGGATTGTTTAAAAATATTTTCTTCAATTCTGTAGGTATTCTGTTTTGTTTTGTTTTGTTTATGGTTCTTTTGCTGTGCAAAATCTCTAATTAGGTCCCATTTGTGTTTTTTGCTTTTATTTACTTTAGGAGATGGATCCAAAAAAAATTTTGCTATGATTTATGTCAGAGGATGTTCTACTTATCTTTTCCTCCAGTTTTGTAGTATCTGGTCTTATACTTATGTCTTTAGTCCACTTTATTTTTGGATACGGTATTAAAGACTGTTGTAATTTCTCTCCTTTACACGCAACTGGTTTTTCTAGCACCACTTACTGAAGAGACTTTTCTCCATTGTATCTTCTAGCCTCCTGACCATAAGTGTGTGGGTTTATTTCTGGACTCTTACTCTGTTTCATTGATTTATGTGTCTTGTTTTTGTGCCTGTACCATACTGTTTTGATTACTGTAGCTTTGTAATATAGTTTGAAGCTAGGGAATGTGATTCCTCCAGCTCTTGTTTCTTTTTATCAAAATTGTTTTGGCTATTCAAAGTTGTTTTGTTTCCATACAAATTTTTTAATTGTTTGTTCTAATTCTGCAGGTAATGCCATTGGTATTTTCATATGGATTGCATTGAATCTATAGATTACCTTGGGTGGTGTAGTCATTTTAACAGTATTGGTGCTTCCAGTCCAAGAACACAGCAAAACTTTCCATCTGTTTGTATTGTAGAAGCAGAACTTTTTTTAAGTTAAAGAGAAGGAGGTATATCTTAAAAAGCTAATTGCTCAAAATAGGGATTGGATTAGGGGCGTGGTTTGCTGGACAACAGGAAGTCAGTTTGATCCCGGTTTCCTGATGGCTCAGTGGTAAAGAATCAGCCTGCAGTGCAGGAGAGGTGGATTTGATCCCTGGATCGGGAAGATCCCTTGGAGAGGGAAATGGCAACCCACGTCAGTATTCTTGCCTGGAAAATCCCATGGATAGAGGAACCTGGTGGGTTTACAGTCCTTGGGTTGCAAAAGAGTCAGAATTAACTTGGCAACTAAACAGCCACCACCACTAACTCTAGTTCTCTAAGTTTTACCTAACGATTTAGAAGTAGTTTTGAATTTTATTAGCAACTGCATTTCATAACACAACATATTAATCTTTTACATGTTCTGTCAATTGACTGAATCTAAAGCTGGTTCTTTGAAGAATAATTTACTTCAGACTTGAATTAGAACCTTTGTTACGAGCTTAACATTTCTGTTTGGGATCTTCCCAACCCAGGGATTGAACCCGGGTCTCCCGCATTGCAGGCAGATACTTTACCATCTGAGCCACCTGGGAACCCCTAACATTTCTGATGTTTTGATGGCATCATGTCTTTAAGAATTGCTAGAAATTAGGGTTTTCCTAAGGGCATTAAAGGAAAGGCACATAGTTTGCCCCACAAAAGTTGCCAACTTTTATTACCCATTTGCTGCTTCAACTCAAAACAATATTTGAAAATGGAGTTTTCTGCTTCTAGTGGAGTTCCATTGTAGACACATCTGCTATGATGTGCCTGCATTTTTTGAATAACACTGTATTTTAAAGTCTAGCTTGCACATTTGTTCTAGAGAGAGACGACGACGAAGAAGCAGAAGTGGCACAAGATCTCCTAAAAAGCCTAGGTCTCCCAAAAGAAAATTGTCTCGCTCACCATCCCCTAGGAGGTAAGTGTTAATCTTTTATTGGATCTATCCTGTCTTTCAGGAACTGTTCTAGAATTTTTCTTCCTTCTCAGGAATTAAAATACTTAAGAATGTGCTAATACATTCTCTTCATGACTTGAGATTGTTATAATAAACACTGTTTATGATTGGGCATTTTAAACCTGTAATCAAGTTACAATTGTCTTCCCTATGTTACTTGTATATAGCTTGTGTCCAGTGATTTGAAATTGGATATTTGTTAACCTCCTTATAGCAGTGAATATCAAGCTTACCATCTGAAACAAATTTACACTTATTGCTATTTAAATAGTGGCAAAAATTCGTGAGCATTTTGTTTTAAGCATCTTGTGACCATTTTACTGTCATCCTAGACATAAAAAGGAGAAGAAGAAAGATAAAGACAGAGAAAGAAGCAGAGATGAAAGAGAGCGATCCACAAGCAAGAAGAAAAAAAGTAAAGATAAGGAAAAGGAACGGGAAAGAAAATCAGAGAGTGATAAAGATGTAAAAGTATGTTTACAAACTGATTTATTTTGGTGTTTTGGTTGATGTTGGTACTTTAAAGAAGTGATTTTCCTGTGAAGACGTTTACTTTTTTATTCTCCTTGGCAAAGCAGGTTACACGGGACTACGATGAAGAGGAGCAGGGGTATGACAGCGAGAAGGAGAAAAGGGAGGAGAAGAAACCAGCAGAGCCAGGTTCTCCTAAAACAAAAGAGTGTTCTGTGGAAAAGGGAGCTGGTGATGCACTAAGAGAATCCAAAGTGAATGGGGATGATCATCATGAAGAAGACATGGATATGAGTGACTAAACCATGCCTCTATGGGAATCTAACTGTGTACATGCATCAGTGTCATTCCTGTGTGATTTCTTAATGCTGTATTTGTTCATCTCAAACCTAGATGTATACAGCTCTGAGTCATAAATGGTTATAAAGCTCCTGATGTTGATATTAGTTATTTACATCCAAAAGCTTTAAGGAAGATGATACAGGGGTAACCAATTCGTGACAGGGTGAAATCTGATTGAGTAACCAAGCAGTTTTACTATTCTGGTGCTGCTTCATAACAAAAATGAAAAGCTGCATGCATCTCCAGCAGGCATGGATTGTTTATGTTGTATGATCTCCTTTATTAAGTAAGTTCACTTATAGTATTTCTAGAATTTGATTCATTGCCGTAATAGAGCCATGTAGGGAATGCACTGATTGCATGTTAATTGTGGCAGGAATATCCTAAATGTCATTAAAATCCTTCAACATGATGGATCTACTTATGGTCGTTTGTTGACATGACAAATTAACCTTCTTATAGTTACATCTGGAAATGAGCATTTGAAATAGATAATCCTTTAAGCCTTGTGGCTAAATTTTTGTGGCTTTTGTTTAACTTTGAAAGGTTATATATGCACTAACCTTTTTTGATGGCTATAATTAGGCTTTAATTACAGAAACAAGATTTCAAATGAAACTGTCTTTGGCAGTAAGTAAATAGCATATTTTGAAGTAGAGTTGTATACTTTTTCATAAGGTGTTTGGGAATTTTTTTTCCTAAAATAATTTATTCCACATCTACATCAGTGAAAGCTGTTTTTGCCTATCCTGAAGTCCAGCTGTAAAAGAAAGTTATTAGCTCTTGTCCTGAGTTTGTTTTCCACACTTTTATTAATTTGTTTTAATCTCATTGTTGGAAAAGGGGGATAGTGCATTTTAAATTGACCTTCATATGCTTTTAAATAAGACAAATCTACTTGATAATGTACTTTTTATTTGATCTCAAGTTGTATAAAACCAATAAATTTTGTGTTACTGTTACTGCAGTAGTAATCTTATGCACACAGTGATTCCATGTTAAATGCAAAGTAGTTAGGCAACTGTTTTCTTACAGGAGTTTTCAAGCTTTACTTTTGTGCAGTAAAAACAAAAGTAGGCTACAGTCTGTGCCATGTTGATGTACAGTTTCTGAAATTGTTTTACATGACTTTGATAATAAAACCCTTAAACTTATGTTTATGTTCTGTAAAAACGTACTTGTATTTATTTACATTGTTGAATGTATGACATTTACCTCACTCATTTTACAAATCAAGTTATTTCTCCTTGCAGACCACATATTTTAATATAGCAGTAAGATGAGATCCATCAGTAGTGATCAGTTGCCATCAGAATTGTCAAAATTCGTTTAATTTCTAAGTCTTTTTAAGTGTAATTTTATTTCTTAAATTTTGGGTGTAGGGTTTGTGTTGAAGCAATGAACTTTAGGATAAACAAATGATCCCACCTATATCTAGTAAATTTATATTTTTGGTGAATATAAACATAACTTTTCTGGAATAGTATAGAAACTCAGTGGTATGTATCTACTGTACAGTGCTAAATAGTATATTTATTCACTTATTAAATGAGTAGTGAGTGGCCGGGATTCGGGGGAAAATGAGACTTGGAATTGTAGCTTTTATCCAAGTTACAGTATGATTTTTTTTTTTAATCTTTTAAAGTTGAAATGCCGTATAGAAAAGCACCATTGTTTTTACAGTTTGTAGTAACTTTTTAAAGATTTTATGGAAAGGAATTTTGTCTATAGTAAGACATTGTAGTAATGGTCCGAATAATCACTGCATTTTTAAACACAAAGTTGAACGCAAATGACATTTCTTTAAACTTTAAAAAAAAATTTAGTAGAAAAAAATCTAAAAGGTTGAACCATATGATATTGTCTTTTGTAAGTCAAAAACAAGTAAAATATTGGCAGTTTCACTTGGTTAAGTCTACTTTTACTCATTCTCTTCCCTTTTAGTCTGAATACAAAGTATGCTAATTTCTCAAAAGGGATTAAGAAATTTTTGGCCTTAAATAGTGCTACTGACGTAAGATACTATCATGAAAGGGAGTTATTTAGGTTATTTTTCAGTGAACATTTATGCACAAAGGTAGAGTTGCAGGTTACATGAGCCTTTAATACAGTTGAGTTGAAATCAAGTGAACACTGCCTCCACACTGAGTTTTGTTCTGTATTTGATAGTAAAAATGATTTAAAAATAAAAGTGGTTTTGTTAGAAAAATGTTTGTGCTATTTATTTGCTTAAATTCTTCAAGAGTGAATGAAGGTAGTGGCCATGTAAGGGTCCAGTCATGAATTTTGTCTTCAGTTACAGCTTCAGTTACAGACCTGTCTTTCTTACTCATTTTTAAAATGGGGAGTAATATTTACCTTGTAAAGTAGTTAAAAATGTAGCTCTCTACACCTGGGTCAGTAAGTGGTACCTACTATTTAATTATGGCGCTTCTCAAAGCTATATAAAATTTTAGTTTGGGGTAATGGTTTAGCAAAAGCACAAGGATAAATTTCTTGCAGTGATGACTATGTTGCCCTTTGTTTTTGTGAATATAGATTTTGGATAACAAGCTTCCTGGTAGTGATTTCTATGTGGTAGGAAAAACTATAGTCACTTAAGGGAAAGAAAAACTCACCGGGCACTGTGAAAACTAATTTTACATTTACCTTGGAGCTGCATCTTAAAACAGGTTCTACTCTTGTTACTATATAGGCTGCATAAGCCAGCTTTTCCTCTGATAGAGCAATACCACTTTCTTCACTTGGGCACCTGATTAAGTGGTCTATGCTGTTTGAAGTGTTCTGTGCTGGGATTAAGGTTAGCGTTCTTTTTCTTCTGTCTCAAGTCTAGCTAATGCATCTCACTCCTATCTAAAATACTTCTCTAATCAAGTACTTGTAGTTGTATTTAAATATGGATGTAATGGAGATGCTATTGTACTTTCAGAATATGTCTGTTACAGAGGTAGTTTTTAAATGAGACTATTGAGTTGATTCTGAGTGTTTTGTTCCTATGTTAGTATCAAAGAATACCTAAAATTCATTCATTCTTTAGCAAAATAACTCACGTGTGAACCATGCTAATTCTTTACCAGTGGGGATATCTGTGAGAAAACTAAAATTTACAGTAGGTGTTAAATACCAGGTTTGGGAAGACAAGCATCAGGTTAGCATTGTATAGTTTTGCTCTTCTTTTCAGTCAGCATTCAATCCAGGAAGCAGAATGACTCAAAGATTTGTTACAGAGGTTTGACCTTAATTGTGGGAACTGGTTTAATGGTCTCAAAATTATCTATAGTATGCATCTGATGCTGGAGACTCAAGCCCACAGGAGTCAAGAAAAGCAAGCAGGCTGGCTGGAGGGGTTGAGATTAAATTGAAACCACAAGCTGGAACCTACAAGGATGAACTAAAATGGCTAGAAGTCTATGTACCATAGGTGCTATAGCCAGAAGTACTATTCTAAAATGAGCTATAACAGTTTTTAAAAATTATCACAGGTATCCCTTCATGGCATTAACCATCATATTATTGGGAAGTAATTATCCTCCAATTAAATAGATATCACAAGTCACATACCAAAAAAGTTTCACTGTCAGTTGTCTTTTAAAAAGTTCCCAAATTTAGGTATTTTGGAAAAAATACATTTTGGTAATTTTGGAAAATATCGTTGAGATACCTTTTGCTGGAGCTAAGAGTACAGGCATATTGTGTTCATACTAATCAGTAATTGTCTCAGTTCAATAGTAAAGGTTAGCATACTACAAATAGGACTTCTAATTCACCTAGATTTTTACAACTGTTTGTCTCAACCATGTTGTGTGTTGGTCACTCAGTCATGTCCGACACTTTGCCTCCCCACGGACCATAGCCCACCAGGTTCCTATCCATGGAATTCAGGCAAGAGTACTGCAATGGGCAGCCATTCGCTCTTACAGAGGATCTTTTGACCAGGTCTTTTGCATTGCAGGCAGATTCTTTAGCATCTGAGCCACCAGGGAAACCATGTTGGCAAATAAAAAAATAATATGAATGAACAAAAGGAAGCACCCCTTAATTTAGTATTTTCTTTAGTCCTTTGTGGCCTCAAAACAAGCTACATCTGCTGTAGGCTAAGTGGAAACTAGGGAGTAAAACACTTGTTATTCACCACCCTTCCCTCAAGATGTGAATGATAAGCTGTGCATGAATAACAACACTATGAAAACATCTTTACTTGTTTGAGTGGGGCTCAACACCAGTTCTAAGAAGGAGAAAGAAACAATAGTTTTTCAGCTTCTGTTGGCTATCAGCTTCTCTGAAATGTGTTCCATTTCCAGACCATCGTGTGTAGCTATACTCAAAATAATCAGCATCAGCTTTCTGCCTCCCTCTTAATTTTCTGTACATGAATGTCTAGTCTACAGAGAGAGGCAAATTGTCTTCAGGAAATTTTCTTTAAGACAAAACTATTCTTTTGAAACCATAGTGGTGGCAGGATATATTGAGCCTTTTAAGTGGCCATTTAAGGTAATCATTTTATAGTCCAATTTTCAAACAAGTTTTTTAATCACAGATGGAAGGCATAGAAAATTTTATGAACCTATATTATAAAACTTACATTTTTCATGTAAGAGTATCAAAATATAAAGTTTTTATCTACTTGAAACAGCATACAGCTTCACTCATTAGCTGGATTAAAAGGCACATTTTGAAAAGTCTAATATTGTGAAAAGTTTATTTGCATTAAATAGCTCATTTTTACCATCATAAGAGATAGTGACATATACCTGTCGTTTGTGATCAGATAAAAGACATTTTGGGATGGGTAATTTCTTTCTACTATTATTTATGAGAGAAAGTTAAAAAACAAAATCCAAATTCAAAAGTTTTCAGTAGTCTTCCTACCTCCAGTGTACCCTGGCAAAACTCACAGCTTGTAGGGAATTGTTAAGTCCTAAGCTGCAATGTACCATTTTTTCCCCCACTGAATTAATCAGTACAAAAAAGATCTGCAGTATATTCCTGAAAGTATACCATATTCCCACAAAGTAAGGGAGCCTAAGAGCAACAGTGATCATTCATTGCCTCTCAGTCTCTCAAAACTTCATATAATCACTGACAGGTTAATAGAATCTCTAAGTCACTTGATCAAAACATTCCCAAAATAATAGGGATCAACTTCTATTCAATAAACCTAGTATGGGTTTACCCACTCTTTCCACAGAGTTCAACAGACCCACATAAAAGTAACTGGTCTTTGAATTTTTAACTATGATTATTTTTCATCATATAAAATGTATTTAATAAACTGTCAACATATGCAATGTAGTAGGTATCAGCATGGAAGATGCAGCTTCAAAGACGTTTATTATAAAATTTCTTATGGTTGATGCTTTGGATTTTTAAATAAATCATCTCTTCAATAAAGGTCTCTAAACTCATTCAAATTATTTAAAATCCTGGAAAAAGTTTAAATTACTGATCACTCTAAAAAAACTTGACAGATCCATTCTGACACATTTCTCAGGATACATTTAAAAAACATTTCTTCAGCTAAGTTCTTTAATGTAACATAACATTTTATGACTGTTAATACATTATTCTCCCTAATTTATTTTCATTCTTGGACCTTCAAACCATCTTGGAATAAGTATGAAAGATTTTAAGTGCAAAAATGAATAATGCATGATTTAAACACTGGAGGTAATTAAAATCAATAAATATTTTCTTGTGACTTAAAAAAATAACAGTAGGAATTGTCAATCTTGAGTATGTTTCTGGAATTTAACTTGTAACAAATATATTGTTATATAAAATGTTTTTACCTTATTTTGAAAGCATTAAATATGTAGGGATGTCCAAAATACGTGGATTGTTTTTAAAACTGACACAAATGCATCCATATACCACTAAAAACAAACAAAATAATCAGAATGATGTGCACTTATTAGGAAACAAGTTTAAATATTTGGAATTTCTTTAAAGTGCTCAGATTTGGAAGAAGAGTATTTTTAAGCATGCTAACTGTACCTTATCATGAACACAAAAAGGACTGTTAAACTCAAGTTCAGGAAAAAAAAAAAAATCGAGGTTCTATGAAAGGAAGATTAGTAACAAACATTTTCCATTGAAGAAAGAATTCAGGTAAAAACAAATAGCACCACAATGAATTGCACTAAGGTGCTAAAGGAGGTACCTTATTCCCTGCAGAGTGAACGCTCCTTCTGAAATGTATTGCAACATATAAATGCAACTGTTTAATGGTTACCATTTGGTTCATTCATCTACAGAAAACTGCATTCCTTCTAGTTCATTATATTGAACGAACATTCAAATTACTGAACTATACATAATGTTACATACTTTACATTTTATGAAAACAAAGCTTGAAGGAATATTTATAAAGGTCACCTTGAATATAAGATGACAAGTTTAAAAGGGTTTCATATCTCTTAAGACATTTAATTTATGTTAATGGTCCAGGAGTGTTTTAGATATAGATATAGATATATGCATATATATTTCAACAAGAAGTGTAAAAATTTTTAAAAACAAATCACAGCACTCATAGCTGTTTTACATAAGAAGGACTTGGGGTCATTAATGTGTCAAACTATTACATTTATAATATGTATATTTTTAAAAAGACTGAAAATGGCACATCAGGAAACTTGCTGAAATATTAGAGGCCCATTTCATTATATCACTGATGTGTCAAGTCAACATAATTCCCTTTTCCTCAAAAGCATTTGTCCCTTCTATTTGGATTCACTCTGGGTTCTCTGCGTTCTCTAGCTTTCCTTGGTTGAATGGCATCATCATCTGTGTCAGTTAAAGATCAGGAAAACGGCTTGGGTCTTCCTTGTAGTCTTCAGGTATGGTGAAGATGGAGCCATCAAATTCATCATATCGAAACTCCTGAAAAGTCACAGTGGCTGTGATCGTAGGAAACACGGGTATATCTAGAGAGGACAATTAATGGTAACACTGTAAAATGAAATGGTAACTTATTTATAGACAATGAAATATGATAAGAGAGAAATATATACATTCCTTAAAATGTAAAAAAGCATTATTCAGGGACCAGACAAACCCTAATACATTTCTAATATGAGTGTGTTTGGCAGGGGTGAGGGATGTGGGGGGAGAAGTTTGGCTACTCATGAGGAAAGAAAGACACCAAGGCATCAAGAGTTACATCAAAAAATCAAGGTCTCACTGCTCCCCAATCCTAGAACTATAATGGCGGATTCCACTAGACTATTTTTTCTTTTTCTTGGGGCAAAGGGATGGCTATATTTGTACTTTTTTGCATTCTGATTTATTTTCTTTAGAATGTAGTGTATAGATTCTGAATCTGAGCTGATTTTTTTTTTCATTTAACACATGAAATGCATTCATCCTTTTTTGTTTTTAAAACACTAAAAACAATCCATCACTTAAATAGATAAAGATAATCTTGTTGGAATTGGAGTAATAATCATACTAACAAGCCTAATTTTTTTCTAAATAATATACATTTCTAGCTGAAACTGTGAGTTAAATCTGACATCAAAACTGACCAAATAGGACTTCCCTGGTGGCGCACTGGTTAAGAAACTGCCTGCCAAAGCAGAGAACATGGGTTCAATCCCTGATCTGCGAAGATTCCACATGCCATGGAGCAGCTAAGCAGGAATACTGCACCTAATGAGCCCTGTGCTCTAGAGACCACGGACTGCAGTCACAGCCTGCGTGCCTAGAATCTGTTCTTTGCAACAAGAAGACCACTGCAGTGAGAAGCCCTTGCACTGCAAGGAAGAGCAGGCTCAGTTCACAGTAACCAGAGAGAGCTCATGCAGAACAACGAAGACAGCACAGCCAAAAACAGATAAATGAATAAGTTTATTTTTAAAAATTTAAAACTCAAAATTTGATCACTCTGCTTAGTTTTATTCCTAACACAATTTATTGGAAAGAACACAATTATAAAACCTGGGTTGATTCCTACAAGTCATTTAACTTATCAGGCTCAAGGATTTCATCTACGAGATAAACTTGAAAGCCTCCTTAAAATTCTGAAATGATTCTATGAAAGCTAAGTTGAATGTCTGTCTAGGATAAAGGCATACCATAAACTAAGTCTGACTGTTACAAACCTAGTATTTTATTGCAGAAAGTAATATTCTCATTAAAAAAACACAGAAATCAACATAAGGATTACAGAGTTTTTCCAGTTATTTCTGAGGAAAAGATCATTCACTGGGGCCTACTGAGTGAAGATTCTGTTCTGATTCAGAGTTCAGCAAATTAAGGCCTGTTGCCTGGGCCTTGCAAGGCCTATGAGCTAGAAAAGATTTTATATATTTTAATGGTTTTAAAAAAATGTTTCATACAGATAAAATTACATGAAATTCAAACATCATTGACCATAGTAAAGTTTTATTGGAACACAAGGTTTACTTATTATCTATGGCCGTTTTCATTCTCTAATAAGAGATAATAGTTGTGACAGAAACCATATGATCTTCCAAGTCTAAAATATTTGCTATCTTTCAGAAAAAGTTTTCTGACCCTTGTTTTAGGCATTGGATATAAATGGCAACCCACTCCAGTATTCTTGCTTGGAAAATCCCATGGACAGAGGAGCCTTGTAGGCTACAGTCCATGGGGTCAACTTCACTTTACTTCATACACCAGTAAACAGGAGAAAACAAATCTTGCATTTAAGGAGATTACATTCTGGTTAGGAGATCCAGACAAATAAGTAAAGAGTAACTGTGACTGAGGATCCAGAAAAAAACACAGCAAGCTGTGGCATAGGCAATTTCATTGTTGAGGGTAAGAGTTCTTGATTAGGGTTCAAAGGCAAACCTCAATAAAGTGACTTTTCAGCAAAGACCTGAGAAAAGAAACTATACAGTTGCCTAGAGGAAGAAAATTCTAAGTAAAGGGAGTAAGTTAAAAAAAAAAAGGAAAAAAAAGCCCTAAAATCAAACAGTATGGTTTATTCTGGGGACAGGTGGGAGATCGGTCTGACTACAGCCAAATGAGTAAGGGACAGACGAGGTCTGAGGAGAAGAAGGCAGCCAGATCAAGTGGGGTTTAAGTCAAGGAAGTCTTTGGCTTTTACTCTGGATGAGATGGAAACCAATGGATGGTTGTGAGCATACTAGTAACACGTTTGAATTAATTTGGACAGAGATAATGAGAATATAATGTAGGGTGACAAAGGTACAGGAGAGAAGTGTTCCAGAAGGACCAGTCAGGCGGCAGGAAGAAAATCGAGAGAGAACTCGATCTCAGAAGAGATGAAGAGAATCTGCACCAAGAAGCTGGGCTGTTTCTAACTTAAGGCTGTTACAAACTTATTTTTGTATATAGGCTTTTATGTGAGTATATCTTTATTTTTCTGGGACAAAAGGCTAGGAATGCAACTGCCTGACTGCATGGATGTTAGACGGTTAGTTTTTATGTTGGTTTTTTTTTTTAAGAAACAGCTAAAATGTTTTCTAGAGTGGCTGTACCATTTTACACAACCACCAGCAATGTATCAGCGCTCGATCCAGTTGCTTCACATCTGCACTAACACCTGGAGTTGTCACAATGTTCTGGTTTCTTAACATAGTATTACTGTTTATTTTTGGCTGTGTTGGGTCTCTGCTGTGCTCACGGACTCATCCGTTGCGGCAAGCAGGGGCTGCTCTCCTTACGGCGCAGACTGCTCACTGCGGTGGCTTCTCTCGGACTCGCGGGCTCCAGAGCGCAGGCTCAGCAGTGGCGCACAGGCTGTTTCTCTGTGGCATGTGGGCTCTGCCCAGACCAGGAACAGGTGTCCCCTGCATTGGCAGGCAGATTCTTAACCGCTGGACCACCAGGGAAGCCCCAACAATGTTTAATTTCAGCCATTCTGTTAGGTGTATATAATGATTTCACTGTGGTTTTAGGCTTCCCCGGTAGTTCAGCTGGTAAAGAATCTGCCTACAATGTAGGAGACCCCGCTTCGATTCCTGGGTTGAAGATCCTCTGGAGAAGGGATAGGCTACCCACTCCAGTATTCTTGGGCTTCCCTTGTGGCTTAGCTGGTAAAGAATCTGCCTGTAATGTGGGAGTCCTGGGTTCGATCCCTGGGTTGAGAAGATCCCCTGGAGAAGGAAACAGCTTCCCACTCCAGTATTCTGGCCTGGAGAATTCCATGGGCTATCCATGGGGTTGCAAAGACTTGGACATGACTGACCAACTTGCACTTTGTTTCACTGTGGTTTTAATTTTTTGTTGTTTTTCAGTTGCCAAGTCATATCTGAAATTTTTATATTTGTAATTTTATTTTCATACAGTTCAATATATTCTTTTCCCTTGAGATTTCACCACTGACCCATATATTATTTAGAGGAGTGCATAACAGAATACCACAAACTGGAGATTCTGCTGTTATTATTTCTAGTTTGACTCTACCGTGACTGGTTTTCCATTCCTTTTCAATTCTTAAGGTTTGTTTTATAGCCCAAGATACAGCCTATCTTGGTATATGTTCCATAAGTATTTTTTTAAAAAAGTGTACTCTGCTGATGTTGGGTAACGTGTTTCCATAAACGCCAACTAGGTGCTCTGGTTTATGGTGTTATAAAGCTGGTCTATAATATCCTTGCTGATTTCCTTTCTAGTTGTTCTGTCAACTGTTGAGAGAAGGATGTTGCAGACTCTAATTATAATTGAAAATCTATTTTTCCTTTCATTTCCTTCAGTTCTTGCTTCACCATCCTGTAGTTCTGTTGTTTGGTGTATACATATTTAAGATTGTTCTCTTCCTCATTGATTGATACCTTTATTGTTATATAATACCCCTCCCCCCGTAATTTTCTTTACTCTGAAATCTACTTTTTCTAATATTAATGTATCTAGTCCTGTTACCCTTTGATTCATGTTTGCATGATACATCTTTTTCCACCCATTCATTTCATTTTTAACTTGTCAAAATCGTATTTGATGGGAGCTTCTTGAAGAGAGCATGTAGTTGAGTCATGGTTTTTAATCTATTTTTCCAATCTATCTTTTAAATGATCTGTTTAGACTGTTTACATTGAATGGAATTATTTATATACTAAGACAATTCTGCTATTTCATTGCTTTTTCTGTCGTCTCTTTTTTCATGTATTTTTCCTGCTTTCCTGTAGGTTATAGGAATACTATTTATTTATTTGTTTACTTTTGGCTGCACCATGCAGCATGCAGAGCTTCCCTGATCGGGGATCAGACCCCACACCCGCTGCAGTGGAAGCATGGAGTCTTAACCACTGGACCACCAGAGAGTCCTGGCATGACTACATTTTAGAATTTTATTTGTGTTTATCTATAGTATTTTTGAGTATATCTCTTTGTACACCTTTTTTTGGTGGCTGCTGTAAGTATACATTATATATAACTAATTTATCATTGGCTCCTGATGTCATCATTTTAGTAGTTCAAGTGATGTAGAAAAACCTCGCCTCCCTTTATCTCTTTTTCATTTTCCCCTATTTATAATATAACTATAAAGAGAAAGAATGGAGAGATAAAAGTAGACTTGCAGTAACCTGGCTATGAAAAGCAAAGGTTAAAGGCAAGTGCTGGGTAAGGTGGAGCTAAAGGGATTATTTTATTAGATTGGTTGAATTTTTCTCTGAAGTTTGGCCATCTTCCCTCACCTCCCTGACCCTGACTTTTTTTTTTTTTTTTTGCCACACCATACAGCTTGTGGAATCTCCATTTCCAAACCAGGGACTGAACCCAGGCCATGGCAGTGAAGGCCCAGAATCCTAACTACCAGGCCACTAGGAAATTTCCTAGACTGGTTGAATTTTAAAAGGAGAAAGACCTTTGGTTGAACTTTAAAGATCTGAACACAGCCTAACAGCTAAGAGAAGAAGGCTATACTAAAGCAGTTGGGAGGTAAAGAAGAAATGTAGGAAAACAAAGCAACCTTTTTTATAAAGTGGGAAGGAGAACAGATCCATAGTACAAATGAAGAGATTACTCAAGCTAAGAAAAGGGACACCACTTCCACTGAGATAGAAAAGCTGGAAGAAAAGATAGGGCTTGGGGCAAAAAGTCTGTATGGAAGGTTGGGAGTAATGGGGGAGGTCTCATTACTTCTGATGGCCTCTTTTTGTAACTAAGAAAACAAAAAAACTTATCTGCTTAGACTGTGGGAGGAAGCAACGGAGGGGATGCGGATGGGGACTGATGAAGGAGGCTCAGATTTAGCCTTTGAAAGCAGACTGAGAGAAGCAGCAAATCAGAGGAAAGATCATTCAGAATTAGCATTTAAAGCTTTGGTTGAGGACTTCCCTGATGGTCCAGAGAAGGTGACACTAGTGGTAAAGAACCCACCTATCACTGCAGGAGACATAAGAGACACAGGTTTGTTTCTTGGGTCAGGAAGATCCCCTGGAGGATGGCATGGCAACCCCCTCCAGTATTCTTGCCTGGAGAATCCCATGGACAGAGGAGCCTGGCGGGCTACAGTCCATAGGGTTGCACAGAGTCATACAAACCTGAAGCAACTTAGCACCACACACACCAGTGGTTAAGAGGCCCCTTTCCAGTGTAGGGGACATGGGTTTGATCCTGGAGTTGGGGAACTAAGATTCCACATGCCACAGGGCAACTAAGCCCATGTTTCACAACAAGAGAAACAACTACCGAAGCCCCGATCACAGCAATGAAGAGTCCACGTGCAGCTCAGCAAAAAAAAAAAAAAAAAAAACCACCAAAAAAAAAAAAAGCTCTGGCTCATTTTGAAAACATACAGTTGTGTTAACAATTTCCAGATTTCCCCCCTCCGTTGTACTGTCTATCTTAAATATAGAAACAGAAATGACTGAAGATTAAACTGACCTAGGACTAGATTTTATAGGGTCATTGTAAAAGAAGGACAGAGACGAGACAGATACTTAAGCAAATTCCCTATAAGTATATAAGCAAAAAATTATAAATCCCTTGTCAATAAAGCTTTATGTCAGAGAAATGCCTGCAAAAAAGTGCTGTAGACTTTTTTCCCATATAATCAAGGTGTTTCTTTTTCACAAAATCTTGTATCGTGAGGTTTGATTTTGGCTTGGAACTTTAAAAAATGTGAATACAGTAATAGTTTCATATATTTAATCCCTGCCCTCTATTCAGGTTTGTCACTGTGCCTCTTAAATACAATATACAGAAGAGAGTCCGATGCTTGAACTATTTTCTGGCTATAGATAATGACAGTGGAATTTGAAGCTTCTGCAGAAAAAGTTATGTGATGATCCATAACTCAAACACTCAGCTCTTCTTTGCTTTAGTTTTTAACAATTTCTGCCTACAATCTTATCATTGGTTTACTCAAGTAGATCTTGGGTTCTCAGCACTTTTATATCACAAAGGGAATCTAGAATGACATATTGAGAATATGTTTTAAAGTCAATTTTAACTTACAATATGCATATTCCCAAATTTGAAAAATTGAGAAGGCTGGGTTTAATTTTTAGCAATAAAAGCATTACTTCTGGGAGTATAGCACCTGCCCTAATTGTTCTGAGATGTGGTTTCAGTAATATTGAGTGAAACAAGGTAAACATATCAGAGAAATTATATAAAAGTTATATTTACTCCATAATACCCCCTACCCCATCCAGAATATAAACACCAAAAGGACAGGGATTTTCACTGTCTCTCATCATTAGAAAAGGGTTCAGCACACAGTAAGCACTGATTAAATACTTGTGGCTGGATCGATGGGTGGTATTGAAGGCCCCCATGGAGCTTAGTGAAGTGAAGTCGCTCAGTCGTGTCTGACTCTTTGTGACCCCATGGACTGTGGCCTACCAGGCTCTTCCATCCATGGAATTTTCCAGGCAAGAGTACCAGAGCGGGTTGCCATTTCCTTCTCCAGAGGATCTTCCCAACCCAGGGACTGAACCCGGGTCTCCTGTATTGCAGGCAGATACTTTATCATCTGAGCCACCTGGGAAGCCCCCCATGGAGCTTAAATCACTGCTAAATCTAAGCCTCAACTCCTAAAGATCCTGTAAGGAGTGTCTTACTCCTCTTTTTATAATATAGTTAAGAAGATAAATATATACAAAATGAGTTTACTGTTTTGAAAGATCATTGTTTAAAGTGAAATTAAGTTTAAATATTTAAGACTGAAAAATAAAATGTAATAACTATTACTTTATCCCTGAATAATGACTGTTGACCCCAGAAATATTCCCACTGTTCAGAAATTCAGAATCTGCAGAAAATATGGGCTAAAATTCTGTCTCTCAATTTCACATTAAAATATTATCACAGTGCATAAGTTCACTCACACCCTCTTGAATGAAATATTTGTATACCCCTCACTTACACTTGCTTTAAGTCAAGGAGAGTTTTCATCCAGCATTTTATATATTTGACAAAATATGAATATCAATGCATGTAATTACAGAAAAACCATATAAAATTATAAACTAGGAAATTCATATTCCTTCAAAGAATATTTCTTTTTAAATGTTAGTAAACAGCTCCATATTTCTAATAGACATTAAACTTACATGACAATTTTTCTCTTACCTAGTTTTACAGGAAAGCCTGGAGGAAGTTTCATTTGAACAAATTCTCTAAGCTTATTAAAGTGCTTGAAGGGAGCTATTACTTCCAAAACATTCAATAATCTGAAATAGGGAAGGAGAAAAAAAATTTTCACATTGATTATATTGTGTCCTTATGTTTTATAACTACATGCTCCAAACTTACAGTATCACAGTTCCAATATCACAGATGTTAAAGATGAAAAAATGACACCTCCTTTACCTCATATTTTTTGTTTTATTATTCTTTTCACTGTGTCAGTCTATAACTTTTACATTTTATTGTGCAGCCATAATTTCCACAGTTACTTGATCTTAGATCTACATTTCAGCAGACTCAAAGTTCACACTAGTCCTCCTCCTAAAGTCTACACATTCTCAAGTTCTTTAATTAGCCTACTGTTTGGATGCCTGAATTTCACTGTCAATTTTGTCTGTGAGAGGGCTCTTAAGTGTTTATTATTCCTTAATTTCTTACAGATTTGATAAATGAGTGTTTCTTTTTTGCATACGAAAGGGGAATCTGACTGGCATAAAGTTTCAGTTTATACTATTTCCCTCTTAACTAACACAATTTCACAAGGTCTCTTAGCGAGTGCTAAGAGCTCTCAAGCACTCTTAGCACCAAGTATTAGACTAGTCATTATACTGTAACTCCTCCTTTTAGCCTTTGGTTGGATGAATTTGATTTCAGTATTATTATTTTTCTCTCAAAAAGGGCCCATGGCTGCTGTATTGACTGAATTCTTCTGTGTCCTTTGCAATTGCCTTGATATATAAATGACATCTTACCTAATTGTGGTATCACACTTTCTTTGCCTCAGCAATGTCAAGATGTGAAAAAGTGTAAGGTCAGGCTGTTTTTTTTTTACACCTTTTCTCCTGAATGCTTTTAGAGTTCTCTATTAACAACTGAAATGCAATAGTTTAATCAGGATAATCACTGTTACTACTTCTTGTCCATTACTTTTTATTGGAGCCTAATCAGACTACAGATTTAATTCTTCCACACAAGAAAATTTCCTTCTATCATATTTCGAATACTCTTTTCTTTACATTTTGGAGACTTTTTATTTAAGTGGAACAGCAATGATCCTTACATTGAACCACTTTCCTCCATAAATCAGTTCAGTTCAGTCGCTCAGCTGTCCAACTCTTTGTGACCCCACAGACTGCAGCACACCAGGTTTCCCTGTCATCACCATCTCCTGGAGCTTACTCAAACTCATGTCCATCAAGTCGGTGATGCCATCCAACCATCTCATCCTCTGTCATCCCCTTCTCCTCCTGCCTTCAATCTTTCCCAGCATCAGGATCTTTTCCAATGAGTCAGTTCTTCACATCAGGTGGCCAAACTATTGGAGTTTCAGCTTCAGTATCAGTCCTTCCAATGAATATTCAGGTGAATGAATGAATATTATCCGATGAATATATCATCCTCCATATATATTACCTCTCAAATTCCTTTAACCTCTTCTTTCACTGGGCTTCCCAGGTGGCACTAGTGGTAAAGAGCCCGTCTGCCAATGCAGGAGACACAAGAGATGCGAGTTCGATCCCTGGGTCCAGAAGATTCCCCTGGAGGAGAGCACAGCAACCCACTCCAGTATTTTTGCCTGGAGAATCACACGGACAGAGGAGCCTGGCAGGCTACAGTCCATAGGGTCGCAAAGAGTCGGACACAACTGAGCAGACTTAACACTCACATGCACTTCTTTCACTGGATTCACTATAAGCTATCAAAATTTAATTTTTGGCCATACCTGTTCTGTTCATTGTTGTTTCTAATGTATTTGTTTTGCAATAGTGCTATTTAGTGCTTAATTTATTTCCTTAGCTTTATAATCTCCTTTTCATTTCATTCTATTGTCTTATCTTAGAGTGATCTAGTTTAACAATCATGTTCTTTTATGTTCTCCTAAAATATTTCTAAAACTTATATTTTGACTTATATTTTATTCTAGAATGAGTTCTTTGTCTAGCTTTTACATACTATGTTCCTTATTTTACTTTTTTAAGGGGGAGTGGTTATAATTGTCACATTTTATAAATTCTAAGATACCTAATTTTTAGTCACATATTAACATCTCTGAAATTGGAATAACTCCTAAAATTGATAGCATCTTATAATTTGCCACACTTTTCTTCTTCCTTTCAATATATATCCAGAGTATCTTGGAGTCATTTTGGGTCCAAGATAAGATAAATTTTGCAGACTTGTATGTATGGCTAATTCCCTTCCTATATCTTCTGAGAACTATTAATTTATTTTCCTCTTTGATCAACAGCTTGAAGACTAGCTATGGAATTCTATCTGCTCTTCTAAAACTTGGCTACTGAGGAGTATAGGATGTGTACAGAACCCCGTAGATAAATAAGGGTCCTGCTCTCATCCAAAAGAATTTCTTTTTTAATGTATTAGGTCAGACTGGAAGTAGAAGGATCTAGGAAGGAAAGCCTAGGGCTTCAACTCATCCCCTGCTTTAGCGAGAAGCCTGAATTTACAGTTCTGTCAGAATCAGCTCTAGCTATCCACCTCCCATTCCACACATCTCTCCAAACTTTTTTTTATTTTAATGAGCAACTGATGAATACAGGTTTGGAAGATATATTCAAGATATTCATGGGAGTATTGTTTATAATGGTGACAAATTACAAATAATTAAAATGTTTATCAGTAGTATGATAACAAAAATAAATGGCGGTACATTAATACCATAAAATACCAAGGAAAGGAAAAAAAAAGATAATGTAATTATTTTAAGAACTCCAAGATAACTCACTTTTAAAATAAAAAAGGAAACAGAATAAAATGCAGACTATTTCCCATTTTTACAAAAAATGCTAAAAACACACAGAGCAAAATTTAGACAAAAATACATTAGTTATTTACCTGTCAACTATTAGGAAGGTCAAAGAAAACTGCCATGTTTATTCTATAAACTTCCATACTGTTAGATTTTCTGCAATAAGCATGTATTCATGTATTATTTTTATAATTTACAAAAACTATTTAAAATTTTATTTAGTTGAAATAATTAAAATGTTAATATTTTGAGAGCTGGAAAATTTCTAGAAGGGTGTAAACACTGCCAAAGAAAAGGCTATTTTACATTTCAAAGGCCTCAAATCCACCACTCAAATGCAAACATAATTATAGCCTTCAGATTTTAATAGTTTCTTTCATAAACTTGTGCAGTTAGTAACAAACTTACGATTCAATTCCCAAGGGAAATTCCTGGCTCATGGCTATTGTGGCTTTAAATGTTTTCTTACTTTCTTTGCACACCAGTTCTCTACCCAGATGAGGAGCTCTAAATTGAAAAAGAAAAAAAGAAAATATTAGGAAATTTTTTCCACACTATCATCATCCTAAGAAGAATCTGTCATCTTCCAATGACATTCATTAATATTTCAACTTTTCTTACTCTGAGGATAGAAATAAAATTATGCTAAAAGAGAATGAGACATGTATAACAATTGAGACAAGGGTAACAAGGAAAATAACAAGGTATAAAAAGTTAATTTCACATCAAATATAATTTTAATAATCACTATTTTTAGTAACAAAGCAAAATCCTAGAAAAAAACAAACTTTACAAATATCATTCCATATCTTTTAAATTACTTATTCAATTCAATCTCTTTTTACTATCTATGGTTCTCAGCACTGATCAATAAGAAGCAAGGTAAAGAATAAAGAATTTTATATTAATTATCAAGTATTATAAAAAGGAAACATTTTATAGAAATTTAAAAAGTATACCACAAACCTTTCAACATTAAAAACAAGATAACTTCTTCCTAAGCATGAGGGTAAGTAGTATTTATTCTCCAACAAAAGAACATTTTCTATGAAAGACAGTACTTTCTTTGATATGGTCAGCTAGAAAAATTTATTTATTTATTCATTCAAAATAAACCATTCATCATTCTTTTATTCAATCAACATTTACTGGCTACAAACTATGTACCAGATACTTTACTAATTATAAGCAACATAACAGTAAGCAATTGTCTTGGGTAAGGATAATAAGTAGTCTGGCAGAGGCTGAATCAAATGGATGATGACATGGAAACGTAAAAAGCAGATAACAATGAGTGGCCTTACACACCTTGCAAAAGACTGGATAATAAGAGAATATAAAGTTCATCTTACAGTGAAAAAAACTCAAGCAATTTCACTAGGCAGTCTTCATATTCTATTTCCTTAGAGTATGGGTTTTAGGGAGTATATAAACTGGCAAGAAAGATGTAGAACTTCGGTTCTACAATTTACTCAAAGAGAGAATGTAATTAAGAATGCTTCTCCCTCGTCATACTTCATCCACATTTTTAAAAGAAAAAAGAAGTGCTTCAGATAAAACTATACTAATAATTCTCTGTAAAAAAATTTTTTACAAAACTTTTTTTTTCTATAAGCCAAAAAATACATAAACACAACAAAATCAACACTTACTTTCCATTTTCAGCAGATATATACTCTTCCCACGTAATAGTGTTCTGAGGAGGAGGGGTAAGGGACTGTCTTCGAATCGGCTGCCAAAAAAAAACAAAGAAAGAAAGAGTAAGGGGGAGAGAGAGAGGGAGAAAGAGGAGTGGGGAATAGAGACACAAGAGACCGAGAGGGAGAAAGAAAAGAAAATTATCATATTTTAAAAATATAAGATTAAAACATATAATAAACTATAATCTCCTTAAAATCATCAACATAATGCTTTAAGAGGTTATTCGGAGATAGTTCCATGATGATATAAGCTCCATCGGTAATATTTATTATTAATATCATTTTAAAAATCTCAAATAAAAAGAAAAGTATCCAAGAGGTAAAATCCATTCATTCAATGCTTTAATCATCTAAAATGTTTCTGACATTATGCTAGATGCTGAACGTGGCAACTACAGAGAAGTATAAAAACTAATCTTGACTTCATGGGGCTCAAAGTTCACAGCTGCAAAGAAAAAACATATACAAACATGAACAGTTAATCAGGAATACAAAATATTAAATGATTAAAGACAAAATGTGCTTACAAAAAACTGGGTAATACAGGGGTTCAGAAAACAGGGCAGTCTTCTACAGACAATAAATTGAGATTAGAAGATTAACACTCCAATTTAAAAGAAAAGAAAAAGAATATTTTGGACAGGGAGAATTAATGAAAATACTAGATTGACTTCAACTAGGGAGGAAAGTTCAAAAGGAATATCAACAACAGTGGTAAGGGTCATATCAGATTTAAAACTTCCCCCTTGTCTTTGCTAACTAAAAATTTGGATCACTATACAATAAACTAGCAATAAAGAAATAAGGGAGTAGAGTAGAAATTGCTAAGGAAAGATTAACAAGACAAACTATACACAGCAAAAGGATAATAAGTGAAAGACTGCTATAAGTAACAACAAAAAAACAGTACCGCTGGGAGAGGTTCCATTCAGAGAAGTATAGTTTTGGATATAATGAGTTTAAGATGTTAACAGGCAGCTGTTAAACCAAGGATTCTAAAGACACAAAAATGGGCCAGAATCCCACCCAGCTCCACTAGCTGGTAGTTGTGTGACCTGGGACAGGTAACTTTATACAACTGTCAATTTAACTCACCAGCAAAATGGAAATATGACCATCACCTCATGGTTAAAAATTCAATGAGATAATGTATAGAAAGGGTTAGTGCTTGGCACATTAGAAAAGATTCAGTAAATAATAATGAATATTTTATACTGGGAAGTTCCTAGAGGGCAGTTACAAAAAGAGAAGGAAGGAAGGAAATCATATTTAGAAATAATGTTAAGAATTCTCTAACTAAATAAAAAGTAAGAAAACAGGAATGATGACTGAGTCCTAAAAATCACACAGATTGGGGGTGATGGGGAAGGGAGAATGCAGGAAGAGGACAGAAAGGAGCCTTTAAGGACATAAAGAAGCCTTTAGAAGCCTTTAAAATTATTTTTTTTCTTTTTTTTAAATTTTATTTATTTATTTTTTTTCCATTTATTTTTATTAGTTGGAGGCTAATTACTTTACAACATTGCAGTGGTTTTTGTCATACATTGAAATGAATTAGCCACGGATTTACATGTATTCCCCATCCCGGTCCCCCCTCTCCGCCCGATCCCTCTGGGTCTTCCCAGTGCACCAGGCCCGAGCACTTGTCTCATGCATCCAGCCTGGGCTGGTGATCTGTTTCACCCTAGATAATATACATGTTTCGATGCTGTTCTCTTGAAACATCCCACCCTCGCCTTCTCCCACAGAGTCCACAAGTCAGAAAAGCCTTTAAAATTAAAGGAGATTAATCAATAAGAAAAAAAAAACAGAGTACCAAGGTATCATGGAAGTGAAAAGACTGTTTCAGTACCATAACACAAAGACTTTAAAGAAGCCTGAAAAACTGGCCATAGATTTTGTTGGCTAGAAATCATTGATGATCTCTGAGTAACGGCAGAAGAACGTGGGACGAAAGGAAACTAATAGTTTTTGAACATCAGGTAGCATGAAAGACAAAATTCTGCCCTTGAGAAGCTTATAAAGAGATACACAGGAAGTAGATAATTATAATCCAGGGTGATGGTTATTATGATAGAGAGATCAAGAGGATGGCATAAAGAGCACAGAGAAGAGAACTGCCTGACCCAGGCTGGGGTAGGCAGCCAAAAAGATGTGCGAGCAAGGCTGATTCCTAGTGGAGAAGTCTGAAAGAAAGAGAACAAAATAATCAACTGACACTGATGAACAAACAATGGTGAGAAAAAGCATGCTGTACTAGGAAACTACAAGTGTGGTGTGTCTAGTTGGCATAAGTAGCATACATGAAAGGAAAAACAGCAAGATACAGGGTAAAAGGGCAAGACAGAAGAGAAAAAGTCTGAAAGGGTTTTATGCAGTAAGTAGATTGTATTTTACTCAAAAAGCAATGGACAAATATTTTGAGGCTTTTAGAACAAAAAAATTGGACCAGACTGACCAAATCCTGGCTTTGCCAATTACTAGCTGACTTTGGAAAATTATTCAATCTCTTTTGTGTCAAGTTTAGTTAACTATAACCTCTCAGGGTTGTTGTAAGGATAAAACTGGCTTGTTAACCTAAAATACTTAAAACAGTGGCTAACAAATAGTAAATATTCTCTACATTTTAGTTATTGAGGGCTTTACATAGTTCAATCTATTTCAGATAGTTCATTCCGGTAGCAGTAAGTTAGGAAGCTATCTCAGTAATTCAAATGAGAAATGACAAGGGGAGCTATTTCCAAGTGGAAGAAGAGATATTCACGAGATCTTTAGGATTTTGTGATCAATTATAGACACAGAGGTAAGGAAAGTTAAGAAGTTCAAGGATAAATGTCAGGGTGCTGACTTAGATAATGGTAGCAAATAATGGTGGTACCACTCAAGACAGAGAAGGAAAAAAATTGTCTGATCGGATTTAAACATACTAAATTTTAGATACCTATGTTTATCCATGTGGAGGAAGGAAAATACTATAGATCTGGTGATTAAAAGTCAGGTCAAAATTGAAGGTATATATTGGGTGAGAGTTACTAGTATTAATGTGGTAACTGAAGCATCAGTTATGTATCTATTAGAGAATACTAGATGTCTACTCAATCAATAATCTATTCTCCTATTCTTTGTTGTAAAAGAACCTTCTACAAATTTTTGACTGGACACATTACTTCCTATATAAAAGACTTCTTTTCTAGCCATCTTTACAGCCAGCTAAGTGTTATCATGTAACTGAGTTCTAATTAATGGGATTTGAGCAGTGATGTGTGCAACTTCTGGTTGGGTTCTCAAACAGAACAGGCATGGCATTTCCTTCCTAATTACTATTAGGAATTATTCCTAATGGTTGGGATACTAAACAGGTAATAAACCATCGTATACCACGTGGATGAGAGCTAGATCCTAGAAACGCTAGAGAAATATTGATAAGACAGAAAAAAAAAAAAGGATAGGTCTGAGATGAACTCACAGAGCAATGAAACCATACAAACTCAGATTTTTACATAAGAAAAAAATAAAGTCCTGTCTTGTTTAAGTTACCATTAATTTTGAATCTCTTATGGTCAGCCAAACTAATATCATGAAAAAAGTGAAAGTGTTAGTCACTCAGTTGTGTCCAACTCTTTGCATCCCCATGGGACTGTAGCACACCAGACTCCTGGGTCCATGGGATTCTTCAGGTTGGAGTGGGCTGCCATGCCCCCCTCCTTCAGGGGATCTTCCCATTCCAGGGATCCAATCTGCATTTCCTGCATTGCAGGCAGGTTCTTTACACTGAGCCACCAGTCTATTTAATACCTATATATATTTAATACTTGTATATATATTTGGCTATAACTAGTGTTTTTTATATATATATATATACAAAATCTTAGTGAAGACTCATTTTCCTGGCATGATTAATGTAACATGTCATATATTTTTTCAGGTAATAAACTTCTCTAAGCAGTTTCTACTATTTCCAGTAGAATTCTTTCTAAACTATGTATTATACATCCTCCATCTTAGTAGAGACTGTAATGCATCTAATTTAACCTTTTACTGAACACTTGACCTCATCATTATGAAAATCAGTTGTTACATTTTAATAAGCTCTGTCTTAGTTTATGTTTATTCTAACTTGCCTTTTGTTATATGCTGATACTTGCAGTTGAACCCGTCAGTCTTCCCTCCATGCAGTTTTCACAACTATTTAGTGAAACAGGAAGACATGAAGGCTGCCACAGGACACCATATTGCTTTCTGTTATTTCCCCAAGTCAATAGGCTCTGTAACTGAAATGACATCAACCCCTTCCTACATAACTAAATGCAAACTTCTAATGCCTGTTTTTCTTAAAGTATAAAAAGAGAGTTTTAATTTATTGCTAGATTTGCTAAATTCTAGTATTTGATGTTGCAAAAGATTTCTGGAAGTTTAAGGCATTCATGTATTTTATGTCTATGTGTTCCTATTTTGATTTAATATATTAAAAAATATATAATCACTAACAGAGTTTAACTCAATATTCTATATATATATGTATATGTACCTAGCTGGCATACAATTAATACTTTTCTCAATGACTGTCTAAGGTATAAATAGTACACTGCTCCCTCCAACTGGATAGAACAAAGTGGAAAGCAGCACCAAAAAAGTATAGGAGCAAGTAGCCATGACTTAAGAATTTCTGAGCACTTAAATTTTATTATAAAAAATATTGTTAAAAATACATACTAAATATTAGAACTATGTCTGGAAAGGAGGAGAGAAGAAGTAAGCATGGCAAAACTAGTTAAACAGCAATTTCTCCTAAATGCTACCTATAAGCTATTTTTTATAGAAATTAAAACAAATATTTTACTATAAAAACAAGAAAAAACTCGAAAGCTAGTTATTTAGAATAAAGAACATAAATTCATTCTGAAAAAGACTAGCATATTTATTTTTAAGAACTGCAATTTTATTAAAATGTGACTTTAAAATATAGTATTTTCGGGAATTCCCTGGTAACCCAGTAATTATAACACCACGCTTTCACTGCAGAGGGCACAGG